GCGAGAAACACTTCAAAAGAAATCGCATGCATATCGAAAATTGATTTTCGTCATAGTTTTTGATTTTTTTTTACTTTGTCGATTTCCGAAGTTGCGCAAAATTTTAAAGGTGTTGAAGGTTATTTGGATTTGCTGTTTTTGTTGATTCTGCTTTTAAATTGGAAAATACCATTTTTGTATATTTTTAAAATTCATAAATTTTATTACACCAAAACTCGTAAAAGATAAAATTGTGAAAAGATAAAATTGATAGTAACTATATTGTGCACATATTAGACTGTTCAATAAATAATATACCAATTTTTTTTATGTTTTGATTGGCCTCATTGATTTTTCTCACATGATTTATGTGCTCCGAATAGCCCGACGATTTGAATGATTGATGAGTTGTGGTTATTGCCACTTTTACGGTGCTTGCAAAATGAAGCACTCAATTGACTTCAATTGGGAATGGGAATGGGAAAAGGCGAAGCCCATATATATCTATATATATATAAATATTTTTATAACGGCGTTGAACTGACCACAGTCAAGGGCAAAGAGAGAGAAGAACCCACGCAATTTTACCGACTAATATTTACAACTTCCACAAAATTAAGCTGGCGTAAAAATATGTGACACATACATATAAATCATAGCCATAAAAAGAGCGTAGAATTTGCCTACGCAGAAATTCCACAAATCGTGCCCAAAATTGGCGTACGTTTAGCCGATTAGCATCAACGGGAATGGAACGAGTGATGAGCTCTTGTCTGACTCGACGACACCAGGAGTCCAGTTCAGGTGTGCCCAGGTTGCGTGACACTTTTACACAAGCAGCAGCCGGCCACACTTTACCCGGCTAATTGTTCGCACCCGCTGCTGCTTGCTTGCCTGCCTGCCTCAAGAGCCACACCCAAAGCTTTTTAGCCATGGCTGAAACTAATCTGTAAACAATTAAGTCGTGCATATATATAAAGATATATATAAGATGATGTGGCAGTAATTCAGTACGATGGACATTTCAAATTAATTTGCGACGTGTGCCATTAAAATAATTAAGTTTTAAATGGGGTCACAGCACAACGATAAAACAGTTCAAATATCATTAATTAGCTATTTAGTTACACGCATGCACAGCCAATGTATCTAGAAATACATAATTCAATCAGTTGCTCGTAACAATTTTTCGTTATTTTATTATTTTATTTTTGTAATGGAAAAGTACACGTTAGAAAAACCCAAAAGCAAACTTGGACAAAAAAAAAAAAATAAATAAATAAAAGAGAGCGAGGAGAGTGCTGATAAGAAAAGACAACAACAAATTGATTAAATCAACAACACAACAAAAGCGGTTGCAACGATGCGTGTGTGTGTGTGTTGGTGTGTGTGTGTATGTCCAAACGCATTTGACTCACTTTCACACAAACAAACGAAAGACAAGCAACACCAACAAGAGCAACAAACAAACAAACGATTCCAATTCAAACAAATACAACAAAAAAAAGAAACGAATCAACCTCTCCTTATCTTCTCTCTCTCTCTCGCTCTCACACTCTGTCTTTCTTGCTCTATCTTTCAATTTTGATTGCCTTTCCCAAATTTATTTCGAGATCAAAGCATTCCTTTCCTTAAACCCAAATTTGTTGTTGTTGCCATGCGCCAATTTTTATGCCATGCATAAATTAAAAATAAAAAATGTGATAATCAAGTTGTACAAAAGGCAAAAGGAGTGAATATATTAGCTACCCACCGGTAAGTGCCCACTTTGGTACCCATTGGTAAGTACCCACTACAGTACCTACTAGGTACCCTTCGGTAAGCACTTAGCAATTTGCTTACTCCTTACATTTGAACTTCTTTGACGAGTACAAATACAAATAAGCAAACATATAAACACACACGCACACACACACACTTACATATTGATATTACAGATCTTACATTTATGTTTGCAAACCAAACCATAAGTTTAACATTCTTTACATTTTTCTAAATGATTAAACATGTTGAAACATGTGTTTATCACTTGTTTCTATTCCAGTTATCTTCGAAACAAAAAACATTCATGCATATGTAAATAAAATTGGGTGGCAACCCAACGGTAATAACACATGTCCAACTTTATTGTAGCTGCAATTTTCTCTTGTCAAATGTCAGCTGTTACCGCACTTGCCCTTTGGCAACTCATACAAACACGCAAACACACTCACATATGCATAGAAAGTTTATTGAGAGTGTTAGGAAATATGGCGTCATTTCTTTGGTAGCCACAGAAGACCCGTCTACAATGGAACGTGACAATTAAATATAAGTGAACGACATTGTGCGAACGAGAGGCACACAAAGAATGCGACAGTCGACAACAACAACAATTATTCTAGGTCAGCATTTGAGTTGAGTGCGTGAAAAGTTCGTGTGTAGAAAAAGAACAACGTTCATATTTATATATAAAGAAAAGAAAAGATAATTTCCATATTTCTTACTCATTAGAGTTCAATTGGGGGCGCAATAATTTATAGTCTGCTTATCAATAACATTGCTCATCTCTGATTTGCAGATAGCGTCCAACTCGTTCGCCTTCTATCTTCGATATACGATAAGTAAATCTAAATGCGTCTGACAGTTTAAGCTCGCGTTTGCCTTTGTTGTCTCTGTTGTTTTTTTTGTTGGGTTTTTGATAAGGGCCGGCCTGTATTTTATGAGAGACTAAATATTGCATGCAACAAAAGACATAAATGTATTTTGTTTGTTGATCGATTGCCGGAAATTCAACAGAAATCGGCAACACAGCAGATAAGTCCAATAAATGTATAAATAGAACAATTTTTCACACATGCTTTCCGCAGAATTTCTATGTTTGTGGAGCACTTTAATTGAAACAATCAACGAAAATGATATCATAAGCGAAAAATGCTTGGGGAAAAAAAACGTTACAGTTGTTTTAGTAGTGTGGAAAATTCTCGTATAGTCTTTATTTATTTTTTTCGTTGTTCTTTGCTGCAGCGATAAGAACCAATCATGCACTAATAACGGGGTTTATGCTGACGCATACGTAAAAAAGCCACTTGACTTTTGGCCAGTACAAATCACCCCCCCACGCATAAAATACGAAATTAGTCAAAGCGGCGTGTGAAAAAAAAAGTTAAGTATTTAATTTTAAATTTTAGCATTTGCATGAGTCATGAAAACTTTTGCTGAGATGTCGATTTGTTTTTGGCTTTTAATTTATTCGCTAAGCATGCAGTCATATTGCTTTCCCTCTCTCTCTCTCTCACCCTCACACTCTCTCTAACTTGACTACATCTGTCTGCCAGCCATATTGAAATTGGGTTAATAACATGTGTACACACTTAAAATGTTTGTAAGGCGCACTTTTGCTTTTTCTTATTTACAGTTAGCCATCCTAGCGTCAGCAGCTGTATTGATTTTTCTCATTTGCAGCAACAACAAACAAAACAGAAAAATACACATAAAGGGAAAATGCATGAAAATGTATATGCTTGGGTATATTTGTGTAAAAGAGAGGTTTTTTCTGCGGGCAGCCGCCAAAAATACGCTGAGCATCGTTGGCGTTTTTACATTAAGCGGCTTATTTGTTTTATATGTAGCATACACACACATACACACACACATACGTACACAGAAGTGTGTAAGTATGTATTCCTACCCCAATTCCTTTGTGGGGCTCCACACACACACGCATCTCTAACAGCTGCAGCGGCGCTGATTTATCGATTTTTCACCCATAACTGATTTGAATTTTGGGCAATTACATAAAATAAAATGAAACCAAAATACGCTCGATGGAATAAATATAAGAACACATTTATTAGCTAAAATTAAAAACAACAATTAGCACAGCAAATAACTAAACCACCTGCCCCAGCAGAGAGAGATAGAGCGCGACGCCTTGTCTTTATTTATTTATTTTATTTTTGCACAAGAACAAATCACACGTATAATTTCTAGCTGCTGCCCTTGAGTCTTATTTATCATCTTTATGTGACTCGCTCTTCTACCTGCCTTTTGCACACATACGCACGCACACACACACATGCATACGAAGAGGCGGCCGCCGCCTCTTTGACTGCAAAGACGCCAAAAACCCGCACACAGTTGAAGCTATTTTTTTTCTTGTTTTTTATTTTTTTCCTTTAAGGCTAGTATGGTGCACATGCAGCATTTTTATGTATACTTGGCTTGTACTTACTTTTATATTTTGCAAGAAATTAGCTGGAAATCGGCTTTTGGTTGTGGAGCGGGCAGAATCTGGTTTTAAGTGTTGTCATGGAAAATGTAACCTTGTCTGCTTGTTGTTGTTTTGGTCATTTAATTAATAAGCGCTAAAGCACACACTTCAAACAACACTTTCATTTAACATTTCATTTTGTTTGCCATAAAAATGTTTCGCTTTTTCTCATTTTGCTCAACAAAAAGGAAATACTCCAACTTCGCATACATAACTGGTTTTCATTTTTTGGCACCTTGCTTTTCGTTTTTTTTTTTTTTGCTTTTACTGGTGTCTGTCCTGTCTTGTAAGGTTTTATAATGTGTTGTTATTCATGCACCTTTTTTTATTAATAAAACTTTTAAAACTGTTTGTATGTTAAAATCAGATTTCCTCTCGACAGCGCATAAAATCTCCCATTGCGCGTTCAACGCTCTCACTATTCTGTTAGCGATGCGATAATGGAATTCTTGGGGTGGCCGAAGACATCATGCGAATCGATATCCCCAAGGTGCATACACGATATATTCTATGATAATATCGATATTATACTCGATTTATTAAAATACTAAAATTATGTAGCCGCATTTCGAAGACTACATTTAAAATTTTCAAATTATTATTAAATAAATTATTGGCACAGGCGATAGAAATGAAACCTACGAAACTGTCTTAGTTAGTGAGTAGAATATTTATGATGCATGCAAATATTTGAGTTTTCATCCTGGCACCTGCAATTTCCGCTCACTTCTGCACATGGTCACATTGTTTTCGACATTCCGAATTAAGCCCGGCACGGTCACACCGTACAGACGTGTCATTTGGCGACGGCTGTAAATACATAAGTTTTTTGTTTTAAATTCGCGGCGTTTAATTGGTGCAATTGGCCGCAGTGAATTACATTTTTGGGACTTAGGACGACATCCCAAATAACAGATCAAACACATTCGAAAACATACTGCAAAACGCTCGCAGTTAGAAGCTGCCAGCGTGTGTCAAACATCAGCTGGCTCCCAGCCGACCGAGGAAAGAAAAAAGTCAAGTCTGGAGACCAAACCCAAAGAAGAAACAAAACGTTGCATTTGTAAATAAATTAGGAAGGACCGGCAACCGCAACCACTATTATGGCGGGTCAAAAATTTCAATATGATGAAAGTGGCGGAACATTTTATTATTTTGTGTTATCATTTTTGGCATTAGTATTGATACCGACAACGATTTACTACTGGCCACGTAAAAAGAAAGAAGGTTCGTTGGTTGCTGATTATAATCACACACTGCACTCCCCGCGTTTCCCCACTGTGTGTGTGTGTCTGAGCTTTTCCCCTCCCCTCCATACAAACATGTGCGCTACGGAAATGGACACGTTCCAATAAGTTATTCTGCTGACGAGCTCAAGTCAACAATGTCTTCGTGTTGGTGAAAGCTGCGATTGCAGCAACAACAACAACAACAATAACTTGAGCCAGCTCAGCTCACTTCACAAATGGGACACACACACGCATACACATGCACACTTGTAAGAGAGAGAGAATTAAGCTCTCACGATCTCTCAAGTTTTTCGTTTTTTCTCGCTCTCTCCAAACGCGATTCTAATCTAATTGGCTCTTTCGCACCACCTATTCACAGATCTTAGCAAAACGAAGGAGGAATGCCAATGTCCGAATTGCTTGAAGAAGAAGATCATTTTGGCAAATGCGGAACCCTATCGCATCCTCAAATCAGTGGCCATCAAGCTGTCAATTGTGATTGGTTGGGCGTTGCTCCTGCTGCTCACGTATCGCGTGTCGCAGTTCGATTACGAAATGGCCAGTTTTGATCCTTTCGAGATATTGAGTGTGCCGCCAACGGCGACCCAGGCGGAAATTAAGAAGGCTTACTATAAGCTATCGAAGGTCCTGCATCCCGATAAGGAGACGGGCGATGAGAAATCGTTTATGATGCTGAGCAAAGCGTATCAGGCCCTCACTGACGATGTGGCCAAGGAGAACTATGAGAAATATGGCAATCCTGACGGGCCCGGTGCGATGTCCTTTGGCATTGCGCTGCCCTCGTGGATTGTGGAAAAGGAGAACAGTGTCTGGGTCTTGGGCTTGTATGGATTGGTCTTCATGGTTGCCATGCCCTCGGCGGTGGGCATCTGGTGGTATCGCTCCATACGTTTCAGCGGCGACAAAGTTCTGCTGGACACCACACAAATGTATTTCTATTTCATCCACAAGACACCCCACATGCTGCTCAAGCGTTCCTTAATGGTCCTGGCGGCTAGTTTGGAGTTCGATAAGCGACACAATTCACAGGTCATCGAACGGCAGACGGACAACGATGAGGTGCCAGCGGTAAGTCCTAGTCCAAGATACAAAAACATAATTAATATAAGGTCTGTTAAGTAACTGTTAGTGTTTGGTTGCAGAACAGCTGTTAAGTAACAGTCAGTGGAATATGCCTATTCACAGATCCTATCAATCTACTGCACTTCATATAAAGCGATAATATGTAGTTAAAGCTCTGCTTAGTAACTGTTAGTGTGCTCTTACAGAAAAGTAAAGTAACAGACCCTGGAATACATCTATTGTCAGATCCTAATAATGTAAAGCGCTTACATATAAGTAACTCTCTGTTAACTGCCAGATCCTAATTGTGTACTATTGTATGTAAAACGAGAAAATTAGGCTAATCTGTGTTTAGTAAGTGTTAGTGTTCTGTTAAGAACAGCTCATATTCCTATTCATATTGCCAGATCCTAATAATCTATTCCAGTTTATGCTCAGTAGAACAGGCAAAGCAGTGTTAAATAAGTATTATACTTGCATTGCTACAAACTTAAGATTTGTAACTGACATCATTCTTCACACTTAATTGCTTTTAATGTTAACTGTTAATTAACTGTTGTTAACAGCTTGCAAACAGAATTGTGTTAATAACAGAGCAAAAAACTATCTTTTTTTACACAATTTATTCCATTTTGGAATCATTTATTAACTGTATTTTTTTATTATATTAAATTTACACAGCTCATTCGGCAGCTACCCAATTTGAATGAGAAATGCAAGGAGCATCCACTCTGCCGCATGTACTCGATAAAGGCCCGTGCCATCCTCCACGCTCATCTCTCGCGGATGCCCCTCAATCCGGAGACGTTGGAGCGGGATCGTCAGTATATTGTGAAGAAGTGTCCGTATCTGGTGCAGGAGATGGTCAGCTGTGTCCATCAGCTGATCATGATGGCCTATGCGAGACGAGTTCCCCGCCTGCCCAGCATCGAGACGATCGAGAACTGCATGAAAATGTCACCGATCATCATTCAGGCCCTGTGGGAATTCAAATCACCGCTGCTGCAGTTGCCCCACCTCACCGAGGATCATTTGTATTTTATGAACAAGAAGCGACACGTGAAGAATCTGCAACAATTCGCACAGCTCAAACCGGAGGAGAGTCGTCAACTGCTCAAGAATCTGACGGACTTTGAGTATGAGAATATAATGCGTGTGCTGGGCAAGATGCCCCTGATTGACTTCTCCATACGCTGTGAGGTGATCGATGACGAGAACACAAATGTGGTCACCGCTGGGGCAATTGTCACCGTTACAGTTAGCCTCGAGCGGAAGGATATGAAGACGCTATTCGGGGATACCAAAGTGCCCGAGAAACAGGGCATCAAGGACGATGCCAATGAGGAGGGAGCTGCCGGCGAGGAGGATGAGGCTGCAGCTGCTGCTGCTGTGCCCGTTAAGAAGGCATCCGCCTGGGCGAAACGCAAGGGGGGCAAGGGCAAGGGTGGCAAGAAGCCAGCCAACAATCAGAAGAAGAAGACGCAGCCGAAACAGACAGTTGCCGCAACCACTGCTGCCACATCGGCAACGACAACCGATGAGCAAACAGCTGCCAATTCGGAGGCAGACTCCGATGCGGGCGAGCAGCACAGCGATATGGATTCGGTTGCCGGCGGTTCCGGCAGCGATGATGACGACAAGCAGAACAAAAACAATTCCTCGCTGGATGACGACGACGATGAGGAGTGGGAGCGTCTGCAGGCGAAGCTGAATAAGCGTGAACGGCTCGAGGGCAAATCGCGCACATCGCACACGGTGCATTGTCCCTTCTTTCCGGAGGAGAAGCAGGAGTACTGGTGGACCTACATCTGCGATCGCAAGTCCCGTACCCTGCTCACCGCCCCCTATCACGTGACAAATCTCGTCGAGAAGGAGGAAATCCAGCTCAAGTTCACCGCGCCACGTTGGCCCGGTGTTTATCCATTCACGGTCTGCCTGAGATCAGGTGAGTTTAGCAGCGAAATACAACTCTGTCTCCATCTATGATATACTATAATAATGCCCGACTTGTGCTCTTTGCAGACTCGTATCTGGGCATGGATCAGCAGCAGGAGCTGAAGCTGGATGTGCAAAAGGCGCCAGCACCACCGACAGATCATCCCCAATGGGATCTCAGTGAATCGGAACCGGAGCACACCGATCAGCAGGAGAATCTGAGTGATTACACAACAGACACATCCGATGCGGAGGATAGCGACTAGAGAGAGAGAGAGCGAGAGAGATCGACATAGAGAGAGAGAGAGCGAGAGAGAGTGAGAGACAACAATCACTAGACCCCCCTCCATTTGCTCCTCCTCTGCCCGACACTCATCACACCAGAGTCCACCATTAACCAATTCTCTTGGAATTTTTTTGATTTTGTTTTCGCCCGTTTTTTATTTTATTAGAAAATGATTTTGCGTTGCGAATTTTGTTCGCATACATTTTTTACTAGTTTTTGTAATGGATAAAGAGCCCGAAACTAGAGCGTACGTAACTAAGTAAGTAAAAATAAAGAACTTCATTTTAATGTCACTGTACTAAATATAATTATAAATGTACTGTATATTTAATTATTTGGATACAAGAAATAACAAAAAAAAAAAGAAAAGATATGTGTGAAACGCGTCTATTTTTATTGGCATTTCTTGTCAATAAGTGGAGAACATAAAAAGAAACATTTTCAAAATAAAAGCAAGAAAAATGAGTTAAAAATTGTAAATGTTTTTGTTTCTTTTTCTCTTTACTGCGCAGCTGCGGCGCGTTCCAGATCCAAAAGCTGAGCCGAAGCCGAATTGGAATTCGATTCTGGAAGCGGAACTGGAACGAAAGCTGTTGTTGTTGTCGTCGTCGCTGCTGTTGTTGTTGAGTTCAGTTGCTGTGCGGAAGAAAAGAGTTATTTTTAAACATTTACAGTTGCTTGCATTGCGCTAATTTGCATTACCCTCCACCACTGTTTTTTTTTTATTCTTATTAGTGATTTCTTTGTTTTCTTATTTACAATACATGTTTTATTATTTGCTAATGTGTATGTGTGTGTGTGCGTGCGTGTGTGTGTGGGTGTTGCAACTACAGTTGCGGTTCATTTGATGAGAGTGATGAGTGCGGGGGTTGTTTGTAAAGTTTCGGAGTCAATTCGTTTGTTCGTTTTAATTTGGTTTTTGGCAGTTTATGTTTACTCTTCTTCGCTCTCTTCTTCCTCGGACGATTTTTCTGCTTTCTTTTCAGCCTCTTCTGTGCTTTCTTTCGTTTCACCATCTACTTTCTCTTTAGTCTCCTCTTCACCCTCTTTGGGCTTCTCATCTGCTGTGGAGTCTTCTGCTCTTGTTTCTTCTTCATCTTCTTTAGTTTCATCTTTAACTTCCTCCTTTGGCTCTGTTACCTCTTCGGTTTTTTCTTTCGTTTCTTCTTCCGTGGTTGTCTCTTCCTTCTCTTCCTCTTTGTCGTCTACTTGCTCCTCTTCTTCTTTAGTAGCTTCTTTCTTTTCTTCCTCTTTGTCTTCGTCTTGTTTATCTTCGCTTGTGGATTCTTCCTGGGTTTTTTCTTTACCATCCTCTTGTTCATTCGTTTCCTCGTCTCCTCCTTCTGACTTCGATTTATCTTCCTCTTCTGGTTTCTCCTTTGTTTTTTCTTCCGTTTCGGTTTCCTCAGATTTCTCTTCCGTTTCCTCTTCTGGTTTCTTTGCAGTTTCATCAGATTTCTCTTCCATTTCTCCTTCAGCTTCTTTCGACTCTTCTTCGTCTTTCGATTTCTCTTCCGTTTCCTTACCTTCCTCCTCCTTTTCACCCTCCGCCTTCTTTTCACTGTCCTCATCCTTTTCACTCTCCGCCTTTTTTTCACTGTCCTCCTCCTTTTCACCCTCCTCCTTTTCAGCAGTTTCCTCTGCCTTCTCTTTCTCATCATCAGCTGCTTTGTCATCTGTTTTTTGGCATGGAGAAATGTTAAAATGAATGTCTCCCGTGGTTGACTTCCTAAACATTACCTGTTGAGTCCACTTTTTCCCCCTTCTTGTCGGATTCTTCGCCGCCTTCTTCTGTGGCTTCGGTTTCAGTCTAATGTGCAGGATTGGGTTTTGAAAGTGTGCATGTGGATGTGGTGCGTTATATATTCAATGGGAAATGTGGGGAAAATGTGTGTAACACAATCAGTAAGGATATCTACTATATAAAACTTGAAGTCAGCAATCTATGTTGCAATAACATGCCGGATTAGCTTCTTGATCGCAACTATTTGACTAATGTTAACTTTTCTCTCGTTTCATGCAGTTTCATACCTTTTCTCAAAATTCAATATTGTTGTTTTACCTTTTCTTCACTATTCTCGTTCTTCTTGTCTTCTTCGTCGTTCTCTGTTTTCTCCTTATCTTCACTTGCAGTTTCGCCATCCTCGTCCTTATTCTTCGAAAAAGGTTTTTGAAAATTAGCTCGATCAACTCTCGCTGTTACTTAACATGCGCTGTTAAACAACTGTTAGGCGCTACAGTTTTGAGACGCCGCTAGTTTGTCTCTGAGCTTTTGTGTTTAGTTTGTGTTATTAGCAATTGCATTGATTTTTAGTAAATACAAATATATTTCGTTTTTTATTTTTGTTTTTATTTTATTACATATGTACTTATATATTCAGCGGATTTTTATGTTTTCGCATTAACATAACTCAGCCGCACAAATCGTACAGTTTTTACTTTTTTCTACATTTAAATGTAGAGCAAATAATCAATCGGAATCTTAAAACTGATTTTTTTTTTTCGTTTCGAGTCAATAAACAGAAAATCTTTCAATTGTATGATGTTAAATACACACACATACATACAAACAAATATGTGAATGAGTGTGTGAGTTGCATATATCATAAATAAAGATGTATGTATGTAAGTATTTTAAATAAAAGTTGTAATTTCTTTCAGTGTGAACACAATCGCTTTGTAAAAGATTAGTGTGTTGTAGTATGCATGTCATAAATACATATATATGTTAATATATATGTATGTATATATTTATATATAAATATATAGATAGTAGCTTAACTTAAAGAACCGCAGTAGTGGTAATTAGAAGCACATTTGCTAGAAGAACATTGCAACAAAAATGTTGTTTTTTTGCGTCCAATTTGCCGAAATGCTGTTAGCAGAATACATTTTTTTGTTTGTTTGCTATGTTATTGCTTGCTACTGCTGTTAACATGGATGCTAATTCTGGCTGATTGCTGATTGCGTCTCGTTAGTGATACGTAGTACAAGAAGAAAGTTGCTGTTGTTAAAATGTTATTGTTGTTGTTATTCTTATTATTATTGTTGTCATTTGTGGTTGCTTCTGTGCAGGCTTGTTGTTGTCGCTTCATAACAGTAAACAGAAAAAAAGGAGTACAAACTTGCTCAAAAGCTCTCAAACCTCTGCCTTTTCCTTCTCCTTCTCCTTATCCGCATCTCCCGACTCAGCTTCACCTTCACCAGCGTCCGCTGGAGCTTTCACCTCATCTTTCTCACCATTCTCCTGCTTCAGTTCGATTTGAGCACTGCTCACGGCCGTTGTGTCGGCTGGTGCCAACTTGAGGAATACCTCCAGGGTGTCAATCTCATTGGCCATATCGAAGGCATCATAATCGCCACAATATTCATCATCGTTAAACAGTTGCGGCGGCAACGGATGCCTTGGCTCTGGATCACTGACTGTGCCGCCATTGCTAGTCGATTTGTTTTGCATCATCTCCTTTTCGCTCTCCTTGCCCGGCTCTGTGATGTCAACTGCATCATACTGAATATGCTTGCTGTCCAAGATCATTAAAACGCGCTGTTGGCGTTTCTTCACCTAAAACCAAAATATACAAAAATTGAAGATAAGTTGGCTGTTAATTTTGATTTGTTGCCCAGCCCTGGTTTGTCAATTGCCGGCAAGCCCAAAACAAGAACACACATACACACATACATATCTCATATCGCAGTACAAGCAAAGTTATCACTGCTTGCTTGTAATTGACTGCTGATAAAGTGCTGTTGTTATTTATTGCTCTCAATCGCACACACACAAATACATATGCATGAGCTTCCTCTATTTTAAAAGCTGACGCGTCTGCAGCTACAATAAACCACGGCACATAAAGCGCAGTCAAGCTCCCAAGCAACGCTCTCTCCCTTTCGCTCTCACACGCCCTGCTCGGACATTGTCAATATGCTTTTTGCACAATGACCGTTGTTTAAGTTGGCGAATCAAACAAAGATGAGGGTTGGCACAATGAGAGTCACTTAAAGTGAATCATCCTCACACACACACACGAACACACACACGCATGTACCCACGCATATGAGAAAAAAAGAAAAGAGAAAAAAAAACTGTGATCAATGAATTCTTTTACGCTTCATAGTTCGCAGCATATAATTAAATAAGCTTATATGGAAATGTTTGCGGTCGTTGCGCTGCTTCTTGCCACCACCACCATCAACACGCACACACACATGCACACGCCAATCAAAATACCCACTTGCTGTTCTGTTTTGTTCGGAGAGGGAGAGAAATGACGTTTTGACTGTACGTACTACATCATCATTTACACACACACACACATACAAACAAGAGAAATGTGTGAGTGCATAAAATAGAATATGCAATTTAGTATTTCTCTTTTTTATCTGTTCCGCTAACTTAACATTCCATTAACGTGACACTGACTCCTACTACAATTTAACATATACACTTATGTATGTGTGTGTGTGTGTCCACGCCCACAGTTAATACTCACCTCCTTGTTGCCGGACATGCCGCTGACGTAGACTTTCAATACCATTTTTGCAATTAATGATGCGCTGTCGTTGCGTTTTTAATTTAAAGCTTTATTTATATGTTGTCGTTGTTGCACGAAATAAAATATGCGACTTTCACACGATGATACAAAATATTTTTAGAACTTTCTTTCTTTGCTTTGCGCTTTGCTTGCCTTTTTTCTACTGCTTGCTGCTTGCTCTTGGCCCCTAACGCGATACGTAATTTTGATTTATATATATTTATATGCACGCACTGGGCTAATTGCTGAGTAACGATGTAAATTCGTTGCAAAAAAGCGTATACAAAGTTCCGTACTATAAAAGTGAAAAAAATTTTTATAAAATATTAATTGCACAAAATTGCTCTCGAGCTCTGCCTTTTTATTCCTACTTTATTCGTTCGAATCTGTGTGACCTAATCCAGTCAGCGAAAAAATACCACATCTTTACAGGAATATACTAAATAGTCAATGCTATCGATGTTAGGAATATATATTATTACAGTTATAACAGTCCACACTCATTGTATCTCTATGTTGCCAGACAAAATTATAAGAATTTAAAGAATATATATTAATGGGCAATAGCTTAATAACTTTTATAATGCAAATATAACAAAATATTTATGAGCTGCATACCTAATTCAAGGCACTATAAATATCGATAGCTCGCTGGCGTCGATGACAGCCGCGACGACATCTGTCAAAACGGCGTGGAAATTGTCGTTTGGCCATCGCTAGGCTCGCCTCTCTGTTCACGAATCGTCGTCACGCATGCATCGGTCGTCCATTTTCCGTAAGAATCCGACAGAAAACTGAAGAATTACATCGCAAAAAAGACAAAAAAAAAAGAAGATAAAATTGCATAAATCAAACAACGCTTTTCAACAACTCACTCTCTCGCTCCCAGCACAGTGCATTTCAGTGGCCTTCGTAATACTGCTCAATCCAAAATAAGCAATATCAATCTACAATTAGTCTTACAAATAAATCAAAAGTAAATAAAGCGCGTGTGAAGTGGTGCAGAAAATCGAGGCGTTACAATACAATTATTTAACGTAAGTGCACGAGTGTAATAATTGACTGTGCTAGTTACTTATTTTCTTTAATATGCATAATCTATACAGCTAAACGATAATGATATGCGCTGCGACCATTTTTAAAATTTCACGAAATCAAAATTCCAACTCAGCTGCAAGTGTGTGCGTGTATGTGTATGTGCGAGCGAGACAACCATTGAGCACCATAAGCTGCTGTCATTTTGTTTTCTTTAAAACGATTCTTTTATTTTCTTCTTTTTCTTGTTTTTTTTTTGGTCACGTAAAAAAGCACTAATCATTTATTATTAAAAAAAATCTTGAATATACTGCAAATAAAGGTAGAATGAATAAGCAAGCAGCACACACTCACACACCCATACAATCGCAAATGTAATTTGTGTTCATTAACAGCTTTTGCATGACTGTGCGTGTGTTTGTGTGCTTGTTTATTTGTAGTGGTGTTTGCTGTGTGAAAACAGCTGGTACAGCTTAAAGGATACGCGTACGCGTTCTTAGTTTTATAGTGCGTCGTGTTTGCTTGTGTGTGTGTATGCGCGTTTGTGTGTGTATGCGCGTGTGTGTGTGTGTGTTTATGTTGGTGCTGCTGGTGGTTGGCTAGCATCATTTACAGTACGATTTCTTTGCTTCTTGTGTGCCTTCCTTGCGTGTGCATTGCTATGCATGTGTTGTTGTAGTAGCGCTGTAAAGGTCTTATTGTTGTTGTAGGCAACACTCCCTTTAATTGCGCATCACTGCGGCGTTCGTTTTTCTTTGTAAATGCCCTTTTACGTAGTTAGAGTTGTACCAAATCGTTCAGAAGTAAGTTCAATTGAACCATTTTTTAACTGCGTCTCCAATTGCAGTTCTATTCAAATTAGACAAAAATTACTTATTAAAATATAAAGTTTAAAAATTAAACTATTATGCATAAATGAAAAACTGAATGATTTTTAATTAAGGACAACACTGAAATATGCGAATGACCCACTCAACAACGTTCAAAGTCCAAAATGAACAACTGAACTCCTTGACTCGCAATTGAACTAGGAACTGCAGCTCTAATTTCACGCAGCTGGAGTCGAATTCTTCTTTAAAAAGCAGCTGCCATAAATCGATGCACCATTTTCTTTTTTGATGCTCCTTGTGTGTGTGCATGTGTGTGTGTGTTCGTCAGGTGAATCCTGTTTTCCTTGAAACCAGTTTTTTCTTTCTTTTTTTTTTGTTTCGGTTTTTGTTCTCAAATTAAATTTTCGGTCTCAGTTGGTGTTGCTGCTGCTTTCTGCTAGTTTCCAGTACTGAATATTTCTCCATTTTTATTCTCATTTACAGAGAACGCTTCCAAGCAGCAACAGTGTGGCAATAATAATAACAAAATATATATAACAAAAAACAGAAACCAATTTATTAACAAAATAGTAATTAAGAATATTACAAGAACTATATATAAAAATATATAAATATATTTTAAATAAATAGATAGAGAGAGAGAGAAAGAGAACTATTGGACCACATTTAAGATAACAACGATGGCCTGTGCAACACTTAAACGCGCCTCCGACTGGGAGTCCCTCAATCAGCGGCCCAACAAACGTCGACGATGCAATCCTTTTGGCCAATCGCGCAGCAATTCACCATCGCGCAACAGCAACAATGGAAACAGCAACAGCGATGGCAACAACAGCAGCACAACAACAACAACAACGCCAAGCAATCGCTATGCCAAAGGCAGCACCGAACCGAGTCCCTTCTCCGAGTCAGCACTGGCCAAGATGTCGCCAGGTGAGTCCAATTTGTCGCGTCTCCTGCTCGAATTTGATATACACAAATGTTTTTCTGCTTCTTTCGCGTAGATAAAATGGCTGAGAATCTGTGCAATGAGATCAAGAGACTGCACAAGCGCAAACAATTGCCAATAACATCGGCTGCGTTGGAGCGCATGCAGGACTCGGAGTCGAGTGGTTCCGAAATGGGACCGGAGAGTCCGCATCGTCCGGACAGTCCACCCAATCATTTGATGATGCGCCAGCATGGCGACAAGACTCTGTTCACGTTTAAACAGGTGCAACTAATCTGTGCGGACATGATCAAGGAGCGCGAGGATCAACTGCGTGAACGCTACGAATGCGTCCTGACAACCAAACTGGCCGAACAATATGATGCCTTTGTCAAATTCACATACGATCAAATCCAGCGTCGCTACGAGGCAGCGCCAAGCTGTAAGAATAAATATATCCACCATATATATCTATAACTATATATTCATTATTGATCCATTATATTAATCGCTTTTCCCCATTGCAGATTTGTCGTAAGGTTCGCCTATATATGTATATATATATATGCATATATATATTCTCAAAAAGAAATGCACTACGATCTTATGTGGACGGTTGGAAGTTTGTTTCCGACTGGCAAACAACAACAAAAAACAACATCAACAAGGAAAGCAGCAAATGCAGAAAGTAAAACAACAGCAGTAACAACAACAAGAAAAACAATAGCAGCAACAACAAGAAAAACAATAGCAGCAACAACAAGAAAATCAATAACAACTACAAGAAGAAAAACAATTACAACAAGAAAAACAACAACAACATAGAAGCCCTCATTGAATAAACAAAAACTACAATTGTGTTTATTATATATATTTTGAAATATGAAAGAGAGTTGTAGTTCAAAACTATAGAATAACATATATAAAATTGAAAACCTGTATTGGGAAGAGAAGAGAGTAGAGATCATCTAATGGAGAATATACTTTAATGGCTTACGCTGCTTAGGCAAAGGCAAAGCGAACAGCAAACGGCAGTAACAACACATTACAAAACAAAAAAACATAAAACAAAAACAAAACAACTTGTTACATTTACGTTTTCATATAACGAAAATTCTAAATAAAAATGACAAATATCTATATAGTACATATGGAAACAACAACAACACTATGCAACATGCTAATATAAAAAAGAAAAAAAAAACACGCTGCAACAAGGTGCAACAACAACAACACACACACACATACACACACACACATCTATGAAGTACTATAAAAACACACACAATTCAAAGAAACCTCAACATTAGCTTCGTATATAAAAAAAAATAAAGCAAACAAAAAAGAAACGAAAAGAAGAAAAAACAAATTTGGTAAACATATATGTTAAGTACATATACGTAGCATATAAGGTATATTTGTAAAAGGTATCAAAACTATATTGTATTTCAAAATAGCAATGATGACGGAGAACTAAGCAAATGAAAAATATGATGAATAATAAGAACAATGCAAAACTAAGTTAAAAACAAAAGAACAACTACTCATGAAATAACTTTTTCATAGTTTATTTTTGCATAATAATCATTTTCCTAAAACAAAAAACAAATAAACAATTGAAGCGAGTGAAGAATAATAGCATCTGTATAAAAGAGAAATAATTTTTTTTTGTTTTTCTTGAGCGTTTAATTGTTTCTTCCTCTGAATGTACGTTTTTGCAAGTTAATGAAGAAAAAACAAAAAAAAAAAACAATAGGCACCAATTTTCGTTTGCAATTTTTAATTTGCTTAAAATGTAAAACAAACAAAAGAAAAAAATATGATGTATAATTTAAGTCAACTTGAACGCTTTCATCTATATACGCTTGACAGAAGACGTTTCATGTTCATTATAAATATTTTTCACTTGATATATACACACACATCTATATATTTTTCAATTACCGCGTTCATACATACTTTACATTAGTAATTTAAAACTTAATATTAGTAAAGAAATGCCATTTTTATATTAAAATAAAAAAAGCGATGAATTGAAACTAAATGTTGCTTTTTCATTTTATAAGATTTTTTGAATTTGACATTTAAATACTTAAAGATGGCACGCAGAAAGATTATTAACGGCTGTCCACGCAATGTTAAGTTAACACAACGTCAAGTTGGCTGCGCGCAATATGCAGCGCACTTGAAGTTGGGCCTGCTCCACACCTAACAGAATTTCTCCACAGCTGTTAACACAGCACAATGTAAGCTGAAAAGAAATTAAAAATAAAATAACAACAAGCAGTCTTTGGATTTCTGAGAGCAACAATAATTGAACGTGTGTTGTGTGTGTGTGTTTTTTTTTTGGGGAAAGACAAACGCAAAATTATGTGTCGCTGATACGCAAAGCGCAATAGCTGATAGACGCTTACAATGCTGCACTCGTGAAATATAACAAAAACCTATCAATATCCATTGATAATCCGCGAAATCTGTACAATTTAGATACCCAAAGGAGAGGGAGAGCGAAAGAGAGAGAGAGAGAGGGAGAATCAGAGTGAGAGAATAGAAAGCTTTAACAATGTGCGACAATGACGGTGAAATTTGTGAGTCAGCCGTGCAGGCATCGCCGGCAAAGGCACAACTGACAATTGCCGCCACCCAAACGGATGCCCAATTCCAGGATCTGAAACAACAACACCAACAACAACACACGAGAAATGGAACACAGCAAACGCATTGCATGCGCTCCAACGTTCCAGATATACTGGAAATCGATCAATGGCATGTGGAAGAAGTGGAGCTTTGGGTCTGCAGCAACATGGAGCACTTTTCCACGGAGCTGCTCGACTGTTTGCGTCATGAGGCAATCGATGGCCAAGTGTTGCTGGCGCTAACCGAACGCGATGTTTGCGATATGCGCTATAAGCTCAACTACAAACTCACCATTGGAGAGATGAAAAAGTTCTGGCTAACGGTATTTGAGCTGCAGCTGCACTGGAAGCAGGATAAACGGCAACAGCAAGAACAGCAAGAGCTTCAGCAACAAGACTATTATCAGAAGTCGACGCATGGACACCCAATTAATCATAATTCGGAGCCACATGCTTTGCACTCATTTGCCACAGTTGGTGGCAACTGTTGCCTGCCACTGTTGCAGGCTGCTGTCGATCCATGTCCCTGTCCATCAGCCGCCGTCGATTATACGAGCATTGTCAACGAGGGCGACTCATTCCGGCAGAAGGGCAAACGTTGCGTTGCCCCCGAATATTTTAAGACCGCAATAAGTTTAGGTGAGTATTTCAAATTTCACTCTCTCATCCAATTGGGCGTTCAATGGCGTCTCTTATCGGTCATCATTTGGCATAAGCTTGCATTTTACCCGTTATCAGCTTTCCAATTATAAGTCCAATTGGAATTTGATTTATATACCATACATTTATATGTGCGTTGTCAAGTTCATTACGAATTTAGTTACAGTTTTATTGCTTCACTGTTATTTTTATTTGGAGGTTATCTGTATGTTTGTGTGTGTGTGTTTGTGTACATATTTAAATGCATGCGTCTTGTTGCCTTCCCGCTCGTACTCGCATTGCTCCTATCTCTTGTATTTCTGCATTTTATTGAATTTGTTGTTGTTTTTTTTAATTGTGTGTGGTAATTTTGCGTGTATAAATTTTCAAATTGTTTAGAAGAGAAGAGCGCATTTGCACTGTGTCATCATGTTTGTCATGCATTCGAAGCAATTAAAATATTAGTTGTTTATTATTAATATTTATGTGTAATGCGCAACTGACGTGAAATAAGGGTCATTAGACATGTTTTCCGCCTAATTTAAACTTGAAACCAATACATATATATATATATATAATGGTTTTAATATATATATATATATATATATATATATATATATATATAATGGTTTTAATATATATATATATATATATATATATATATACATATGTATATATATACACCCTCTTAGTAAGTGTAGACAAAGTGCGAAGTGAGAAGTTTATTTGTTTGTTTATATTTTCGTTGAATGTCTTGCAAATAGTGTTTATTTTTATCCATTGAAAATGTGTGAAAAGGGTATAATGGGTTTGTGCAAATGTATGTAACAGGCGGAAGGAAGCACATCCGCCCCCATAAAGTTTATATATTTTTGATCAGCAACAACGAGTTGAGTAACAGTAGAAAAATAAGAGAACAAAAATAAAATATTTTTTTTTTTTGCAAAAGTGTAAAAAGATAATTTTATTTCATGTTGTTTGTTGATTAAAAATATATAATATATAAAAAAAATTTAATTTTTTAAGGGTATGTCGTAGTCGAGCTCACTCGACTATATCATGCTTTCGTGTTTTTTAAGTACGTTTCTAATTTGATTTTTGTTTGTCAATTGCAGGGTATTCGTTTATGGTTACATGGATAACATCGTTTGTGATGGTGATTGTGCATGAGCGTGTGCCCGATATGAAACGATATCCACCGTTACCCGATATCTTTCTTGATAATGTGCCTCACATCCCGTGGGCATTTAATATGTGCGAAATAACGGGATCGCTGCTGTTCTCCGTGTGGTTCTTTGTGCTCATCTTTCACAAGTATCGAATGGTGTTGTTGCGTCGCTTCTTTGCACTGGCCGGCACCGTTTTTCTGCTGCGCTGTGTGACCATGCTAATCACATCGCTCAGTGTGCCCGGCACCCATTTGCAGTGTAATCAGAAAGATTTTGCCATAGATGATCCGAATGTGGATGTATTTGGCGCATTGGTTATACGGATGACGCGTGCCTATCGAATCTGGAGCGGACTGGGCATGTCCATACAGGGTGTGCGCACGTGTGGCGATTATATGTTTAGCGGTCATACTGTCGCCCTAACGCTGCTTAACTTTTTCATCACGGAATGTGCGTAGATCTATATTAATAATTATATATAAGTATAGGTGGATATTAATTCCATTTCAATTCTTGCAGATACGCCACGGAATCTTTACTTTCTGCACACGTTGACCTGGCTGTTGAACATGTTTGGCATCTTCTTTATACTGGCTGCCCATGAGCATTATTCGATCGATGTCTTTGTTGCGTTCTATATAACATCCCGTCTGTTTCTGTACTATCATACACTGGCCAACAATCGGGCAAGTTCCATTAACGATTCACTTTTTAATCTTAATATTAATCCTTAAACCTATTGCAGGCTCTCATGCAAAGCGATTCGACACGCACCCGCATCTGGTTTCCGATGTTCAGTTATTTTGAGAATTCGGTGGATGGCATCATACCCAATGAGTTTGATACGCCTGGCTCACTTATTGATGCGCTGCTGCAACAGTTAGTCCGTTTCAAGGACGAAATCCGCTCAATCTTTCAAAGCTTTTGGTTGTCGAAGATTGCGTTTGCGTCGGGCAAATCATCGTGGTTCATGTTTGGCAACTCCGAGTTGGACTCACGAAATCATATGCATACAAGTGTCTCCAATTATTTGTCACCGACGCAATCGCTGCTCAGCACAATAGCGTCTCCTTCAGTGCCGCAGCAGCAGCAGAAGGGGACATCGATTGATGCCGGCGTCAATCCTTTTGCCGATGGTGGCGTTGCGGCGGAAACGCTGATAAATAATGATTTGAGAACACCTTTGACGGAGAAGAAGGTGCTGTGATTGATTTTGCTGATTGTCGAGTCTTCCAAAACAGGATTCAAAATTCTTATTTCTTTATCGTCGTTCTTCAAAAAGAGATTACGGAAAAACAAAAACACAAAAACAAACACACACCGACTGATAATTTTTACATGAATTGTTATTTGAATACTTTTCTCACATGCAGCAGCAGCAGCACCTGTATATCTGTATTATCTACTATAATAACACACTCGTAGTGCCTTCCGGGTAGTCTCAACTCTGCACAGCAAGCCCTCACTTCTCTTTAGGTAAATAACATATTTGATTTAAAAACATTGAATTAATATATATACATATTTTTATATATATATATATATATATATATATATATATATACATATTAATATATATATATATATACATATTAATAAATATATATATATATATTAGTAGTTACATGAAGTTCTACTATAATTGTTCATCAGCAGGATGATGAAGATAATCCTCATTCCGTTCAGTTTAGTTTTATTATTATTAAAGACTAATGCATTATTATATAATTCTAAGCATGTACAACAACTTTATTTAAGTTATTTAGTCATAAGTTACAAAGTTTTTGTTGAATGCACAAAAATCCAATAAATTTAATTTTCAATTGTGGAAAGTAATCGACATTATTAAATTCAAATTGCCCGCACTGCAGTCATCGATATACGCATTTTTATCGATATTAGTATTTTAATACTATATTGCAATCAGTTGGATGTGTGATCCGGTGACAATCACAGCTGTCGAATAAATATTTGAATAGGGTCTTGTTCATTCTTTTAAATAACTTTTGCTGAAGCGTACACACATGTGCTCTAACTTTAATATTTTTGAAAGTAAGCAAAAAATAGAAATAAACGGAAAACACCTTTTGTTGTCTCCCAGAAATCTTTAAATGCCTACCGGTTAAAGTGTTGTGAATCTTTCTTGCGATAGTTGGATGAGATTCATTGTGTGACTGGCAATTGCCGCTTCTTTTTATTTTTTTTTATTGGCGTCGGCGTCGTATTTTGTAGCAGTTAACGCGAATTCATTCTCGTGTGGATTTTGGCAGTTCTAAATTTGCCCACACAGAATATGAAGAAAATTAAACCACAGTTACACGACCACTTGATAACCAATCGTGTGAAGCAGGTAAAAAAAAATAACCACAATCGCAAATAACTCAACCAAAATTTTAGCCAGGCTGTAGCCGGCTAACAATATGCAACCAAAGAATAAAAAGCAAAGAAAAAAACAAAAGCAAGGTTAGTTTTTGACAGACTAATTATAATCGTAATTTTGTTTTATTGTCGAAAGTATTTGGAGGAGCACATTGACGAGACGTATTTGGATGTGAAGCAGATGACCAAAGAATTGATGCGCAAATATCCCGAATATTCTCGTCGCAAATTTGGCCCATTCCGACAACTGGTGCATCAAGGTAAAGTGAAAAGTAAATATTACAAAAGTTTCTGCGCATGACGCCACCAAAAAAATAAATAATAAAAACAGACTTCCGCAATGCAATGTAAAAATGCAATCCATTTTTTATAGTTTGTCCCTTAGTCGAATTATATTTGAGACACATGGCGAATAACATTAAATATATACATGTATGCATGCCAATAGGAATTGTTATGCCAGCATTTATTGTTATCAATTCGGGAAAGAAACGCAAACATTTCACTAGAATCGCTCAGAATTTGCATAATATTGATAATGTAGAAACTTGTGTTTGTCATTAATTCTATGCGATAATATTGATATCTGTTATGTATTTATATGTGCAAAAGACTTATAAAATATTTACAATTGTTTGTTTTTCAGCGTTCTCGATTGTTTCTGACAGTTATAACTTAGATAAGGCGACCAGCTCAGACGAAGAGGAAGACTATTTATCTGAGGAAGCGGACACACCAGCCACCAACAGCATAATGAATAATTTAATGCATGGCCTGTACACCAATCAGCCAGTTCGAAAACCACAAGCAACAAAACCCAGCAACGAACCAATTGACATTTCCAGTGGCGATGAGAACGAGGACGAACCTTCGGCTAGTCCACCAAATGGTGGCAGTTTGGCAGCCGCAGCTGCATCCGCTAATATTGGCGATATGATGCCATCGAAAACGCTGAAGCGTCCATTGGAATCGACTCCATCGGCAGCTGGCGGACAGCCGAAGAAAGGCAAGTCAATCAACAGTTAAGCCACATCTAATTATAGTTGAATCAACAATGATAATAATTGAAACTATTAACAGGCAACGCGCCAAATTATAGCTCTTCAAACCACAGCCCCATTCCAGCAACGGCGCCCAAGAAATGTGAATAACCGAGCTTGGATTATCACAACTTGATCAGCTAATAATAATTGTTCTCTCTTTCTTGGTTTGCAGTCATTGCAGTCTCTGCTAGCCTCAGCAAAAGCAATAGCGATGCTGGCCCACGCAAAGAGACGCAATCGCATCATGGACCATTGCTGTCATATCAGCAGCAGCAACAGTTTCTACAGCAGCAGGCCCAGCAGCAGCTGCATCATCATCAGCAACATCAGCAGCAGCAGCAACAACAGCGTGTGCGCAAATACAAAAAGGAATTGGAGGTGTCTCGCTCCTCGGAGAGTTTCCGCGATATTGGTGGCATGGATGGCACCTTAAAGGAGCTGTGCGAAATGCTTATACATATCAAATCGCCAGAGTTTTACTTTCAACTGGGTCTGCTGCCGTCACGTGGCCTGCTGCTCCATGGACCGCCAGGAAGTGGCAAAACCTATTTGGCACGCGCCATTGCCGGCGTGAGTAGCAAATATATAATAATATATACATATATAAATATCAAATTTATTTATATTTATTAAAATATTTGGTTTGTAGCAATTGAAAATGCCGCTGTTGGAGGTGCCAGCTACAGAGTTGATTGCCGGCATCTCTGGGGAATCGGAGGAGCGCATACGCGATGTCTTCGAGCAGGCAATTGATCATTCGCCTTGTGTGCTCTTTATTGATGAAATCGATGCGATTGCCGGCAATCGCCAGTGGGCTGCCAAGGATATGGAGCGTCGCATTGTCTCTCAGCTGATTACCAGCCTGGATCAGTTGAAGGCCACCGAATTTGGGCAATCGGTTGTTGTTATTGGCGCCACCACACGTCCGGACACTCTAGATCCGGGTCTGCGTCGCATTGGACGCTTTGATCATGAAATTGCCATACACATACCATCACGCAAGGAGCGTCGCGAAATCTTGCGCATTCAGTGCGAGGGTTTGTCCATTGATCCAAAACTGAATTATGATAAAATTGCTGAACTGACACCGGGTTATGTGGGCGCCGATCTGTTGGCATTGGTCTCGCGTGCCGCAACCATTGCCGTGAAGCGCAGATCGATGAAAAAGTTTCGAGAGCTGCACGCAGCCAGTGAGATGAACATGACCACTGTGACTCTGGATGACGATGAACCGAATGAGGACAAACACGAGGAACAGACGTCGTCGCAGAAGGAACAGACGTCGTCGGAGACGGAGCAGACATTGGCGCCGGAGAAGTCGCCACCTACCGTGGCGGAGCAGCAGCCGCCAAACACGGAAACCGATAAGCCCGTAGAAGCCACAAATGGTGAAAAGGCCAGTGAGGAGGTGAGCAGCGAAGCACCCATGGAAGTGGATAATAAAGAAGATAAAGATGATGATGTTGGAGATGAGGTTTTGCCGGCGGCTAAGGACGAGTCGGAGAAACAACCAATTTCAAGTGCCAAATCGCCGATACTATCCGATGATTTCTACGAGCCCACATTGGCCGAGTTGACAAATTTCCTGGACAATCCGCCCGAGGAATTTGCTGATCCCAATTTCTGTTTAACATTGGATGATTTTACGGCCGCTATTAAAGTGATGCAGCCATCGGCAAAGCGTGAAGGCTTCATCACGGTGCCGGACACCACCTGGGATGACATTGGCTCGTTGAATGACATACGCGAGGAGCTGAAGCTAGCTGTGCTGGCGCCCGTCAAGTATCCCGAGATGTTGGCACGCCTCGGCCTGGAGGCACCATCGGGTGTGCTTCTCTGTGGACCGCCTGGCTGTGGCAAAACACTGCTGGCCAAGGCCATTGCCAACGAGGCGGGCATTAATTTCATTTCCGTCAAAGGACCCGAACTGATGAACATGGTGAGTGCTTCAACTTGAACTTGATCCCCACCTGAGGTTTTCTTTAATGGATTTCTGACCGCTTTCGCAGTATGTGGGCGAGAGTGAGCGTGCGGTGCGCGCTTGTTTCCAGCGTGCTCGCAACTCATCGCCATGTGTCATCTTCTTCGATGAGTTCGATTCGCTGTGCCCCAAGCGCTCGGATGGTGGCGATGGCAACAATTCGGGTACGCGCATCGTCAACCAGCTGCTGACCGAAATGGATGGCGTTGAGGAGCGCAAGGGTGTTTATATTTTGGCGGCCACTAATCGCCCGGACATTATTGATCCAGCCATTTTGCGGCCGGGCCGCTTGGACACCATACTGTATGTGGGATTGCCACAGGAACAGGAGCGTGTTGACATACTCAAAGCCACCACCAAGGTAAGTAGTTAAGGATTCTTTAAGATTCACTCAGTAAGCCATATTTTGTTACCAATTTAGAATGGCAAGCGTCCCGTGCTGTCTGAGGATGTGGATCTAAATGAGTTGGCCGCTAAGACCGATGGCTATACAGGCGCCGATTTGGCTGGCTTGGTTAAACAGGCTTCGATGTTTTCGCTGCGCCACTCGCTCAACAATGGTGATACCAATGTGGATGATTTGTGCGTACGCAAACAGCATTTCGAGGAGGCTCTCAAGCAACTGCGTCCCTCGGTTAGCGAGCAGGTAAGCTCATATATACTATCCATCTTTCCGTAACTCGGGCTAAAGTGACTTATTTTCTTGACAGGATCGCAAGGTGTATGAGAAGCTGCGTCAGAAATATGCTGCACCACGTATACCGCCGTTCGAGGCGAAGTGAACACAATCTCGGCGCTTGGCACTGTTGTACTAGTATTTAAGAAATCATCCACACACACACACACATACACACACACGGATCCACACACACAGGCATATTCCACATGGTCCTCATTTGAATTTAATAAAATATGTACAAATACCCATCACAATGGAATCAAACTCATACACACAAAATAAAAATGCCCAAGCGAAATAAAATTTGGGACCAAGCCCAGCTCAATTGCCAAATACTTTATATATACGTATATAATTTATATAATTCGGATACATATAAACACACACACACAACCTTGGAATCATGGTCGACAATGCTACACATCGCCTCTTCCAGAACGTGTTCCAGCCAGTGGCGCCGTCATCGCCCTCCTCGGCATTAAAGCATTTTGCATGTGCCTCTTCTGCAGCTCAAGAATGTCCGCGTGCTGTGTGAGCAGCGTGCGCTTGGCGCGTTTCTTGAGCTTCTTTCGGATCGGTGACTTCTTTTTATCCTCGTTAGCATTAGTCGGGAGAACGTCAGACTGATTATCGCCGGCGCCCAGCTCTTTGTGACTCGGTGGCTTGGGCGCATTGGGCTCCTCATCTCGCCTGATGATCTGGCGCAAATCGAACGCATTCTTGCACATCTCGCGTATGCCGAACCAACTCTCATGGCCAATCTGACTGATCATCTCGACGGGCGGCTGAAAGCCAAGTTCACGCGATGGCAGCTCCATTACCAAAGCCATGGGCGTCTTCAGCACACCGTAAACATAATCCACAACGGAGCCGGCAATGGTGCGTTTGGTCAGGCCACTAATACTACCCGTGCGATATTCGCGGCCATTGTACGTCTTGATCGCAGTGCGTCCGGCAGTTGCCAGCGTGTGCAGCTCGCGCCAATAGTATGGCGACTCGCGTGAATAGCCCCAGGGATACATGATGCTCTGGCCGTACGAGTGTAGCGACAAAAAGAACAACAAATTCGGCGCAAGGCTGTCCAGAATGGTGCGCATGGCACGCGTCTCCGGCTCGGAGAAGGGTCGCTCCCCCTTGTACGTGTTGCGATTGGTGCGCGTCGGTCCGCATTCCCAGAAAATGTCATAGTTGCGATTGCAGTCGGTGCCCACAATTTTGGACGCCTTGTTCGGTCGTCGATTCTTGCGCCAGTTGCGATTCTACAAAGGATTCGAGCAGAGTAATTAAATAGCTGGAGTCATCTTTGCTTGATTCTGATTTACCTTGGTGCGTGAGTACTCGTAGCCATCGGGATTCACCAGTGGCACAATAATGAAACGCAGATTGCGCAGCATCTCAATGTTGCGAGTATATCGCTCCGTCAGCTGGTAAATGCAATTGAGACTGGTGCTCACCGTGATCCATTCGCGTGCATGTGTTCCCGCCTCAATGAAGATGACATTGCGATTCTTTTCGCCCATCAGCACGGAGGGACCCTTGACGCCGCTGAGCTTCTGCAGCTCAGACTGTTTGGCCGCCTGCATACGCATCGTGATTGGCAGTTCGGTATTATTGGGATTCATCCAATTAATTTCCACTGCGCGCACTTCTCGCTTCTCGTGCGTTATGCCCAGCGTGTAGAGCTTAACGAAGTTCGAATAGCGATGCACTATATATTCCAAATACTGATTAATTTGTCCATACTCCAGATACGTGTGCAACACGTCCGGACGCGGTATGACCAGTCGCCTTACGGCCTTGTTTTGGGGCACTGCATTGATGGTCACCTTTTGGCCAGCACGCGCTTTTGCCTTCTTGTTGCGTTTTATTTTGTTTGTCGATTGCATTTTTAATTTTGAGAATTACCATGGGAGGTTTTAATTGGGAAATTGGAAAAAGAGAAAAACAATGCGCAAAAATGTTACTATAAATTTTAATTTGATTTTTTTCTCACAACTGACAACAAAGTGGAGTATTAAATAATTTCTTTTTTTATGTTTTCATTGCAGCTGGGAGCTGTTTGAATTTTCGAAAGCCTGCTAGGGAAAAATTCTCACCTGGTGCTCGACTTGGAGCAGTTGCTCGGCGAGGACGAGACGTGCGAGCCCCTTGGGCCTGTCTGCCATTGTGCGATCCAAACGGATTGCCAGTTGGAGTTTTTATCAACAATGCATTATAAAAGCAAAAAAAAAAAAACAGACGGAGCAGCGAAAAGTGGCACACTGCCACAGTGCCACAGTGCCAGACTGCCAGAATGCCACATCCCACATAGCGTGGGCGTTCTTCCACAGGCAAAGCGAGAGAGAGAGTTCGCATTTAGGGTAAATTGGGACAGCGACAACGTTTAATAAGTTGGGCACGGCAGGCTTGTAATGCGGAATTGGATTTGTATTCCCGCTGTCCTTCTGGCTGGCCTGCAACTGGCTGCCACAAAACGCAAATATGCTAAATGTCAGACTTGGCCTATGGAATGGAGGGAATCGCTTACCTGGTGGACAGGCCTACAGGATGTATGTATATAGCTACAAGCGCAGGCACGTGCTATGCAAATAAAAAAAAAAAAGGAAGCGACGCTCCAATATTGGCGTGCCGTCCCGGAAACGGAGCAGTTGTAGCTGGTCTAAGGGACAGGCCTTTAAGCATAAAATTCATTTTGGAGATTGCCTCTAAAAAACACTATGCTACAGCGAAGGGTTGTGGATCTCTTCGACAAAAAATTCAGTTTAATTTCAGAAATAAAATTCATTATATTTCGCATCAATTTCATATTTTTTTTCAACTAAATTGTCCTTTGGAAGAACCCTTATTTGATACTATATCCTATCTTAAAGACCACAAAAGTTGTAAGCAAATGCTTTATATTTGCATAGGGTTTAATTGAAAAATATATGTCAAAACTGTTTTAGAATCTAGAAATTTCGGATTTGGATTAGCAATTAATTTTATATATTTTTTTCAACTAAATTGTCCTTTGGAAGAACCCTTATTTGATACTATATCCTATCTTAAAGACCACAAAATTGAAAATATGTCATAACCTTTTCAGTATCTAGAAATTCTTAAGCCATCAAAATCTGTAATTGGTACTCAACTTTTAGTTGTGTTGCACAGTGTAATTTTGTGCCCGACAAACGTCATGTCAACGCAAAAGTCAAAAGTTCGGGGTCGGAACAGTCGGAGCAGATAAATGTACATATGTATACATACATATATATATATATATTTAAATGTTGTTACATATACATATGAATGCATTTATAGGAATATCGTTTGCGACGCAACCAGTTGATTTATACAAAAACAAGGTTCGTGTTGATTTTCATTTAACGGTCCTTTAGTCAACTTTCTGACACAGTGACTGCCATATATTTACGTCTGGCTATGCTATGCTCGTAACTACATAATGCGTACCCTGTAAATTCTAAGCTGTGTGCGCATATTGGTGCTGTAGAAATTTTGATGACATTTGACAAATCTTTGTTATGCTCAACTGTCAGCCAAAATTGTATCTTTAAAATGTCTGATTAGTTTTGAAGATTTTCGTTTGGTTGGAAATATCTTTTCTGGTTTGGTTTATTAGCAGCAACTTTCCGATCATTCCCTGTTGATAGTTGATAGGCAAGAACTTCCTGTAATACATTAAAATTATTTCCTAGTTTTTTTGCTGCCGCTACATTGCATAGACACGCAAAGGCCCAGACAGGTTGCCAGTCAGTTTGGTTCCGTCAGGGGGGCGTTTCTGAAGTATGCACATTATGTCATTAGCATGCTGGCTAAAATAAAAGGGCTAAATGTTCCCAGTTGTCGTTGTTCTCTTTGAGCTTTGTTTTGCTCTTTGTCTTTTTTTTTTTTGTGGACTTGATGACAAAATGTTTGGCAGCATAAAACTGGCTACAAATTAACGAAATTCCAGCAATTATGCCAAACAAAATGCAAAGCAAAAGTTGTGAGGTTGCTGTGCAACAAACCTGCCTCAACAAAGGACAACAACATCAGGATATATGGAACAATGAATATTTATGCAATCTGTTTGACATGGCAATTTAAGTTTGCAATGCAATTTGCCATAATCGGATGATGTATAAAGTAATGCTGATTCTGTACACGTAGATATGACAGACAGTTAACATTTCATGCGGTCTTAATTAACCCACTGGCACAATGTCTTTGGCAGCAGCTGTTGAATATCATGTCTTTGATATTGATTTTTGTTTTGTTTCTTTTTAACATGTCTATAATAATAGTAGAGACCCTGCTTACAACTCATTTTAGTCTCTTTCACATATTCTTCCTAAACAATAATTTAATTTTAGTTCGTGTGCCTGAAGATTATTTTCATGGTTAAGGTCGCAAGACAAAGTAGTTTGTGGCTTGGAGGGCTTTTTTATATGTTGATTGGGGAGTTGACAATGACCAAAAACAAAAAAAATAGGTAAAATACGATAGGATTAATTGTGTAAAAATTGTCTAAATAGAACATACCCTGTATTCTAAATAATTCTGTATATATTTCTGACCAATTGAAATGAAAAAAAAAAATTAGAAACCGATTTCTAAAAGAGTTTCAGTTTTATTTGCATTTATATTATTTTTGTTATAAACATTTAATGGTACAGGGTGTAAAAACAGTCTTCAACATGCCGGTGAGCAATCTGCGATAGGTATGTATTGTAAGATAATGAGATTATTAAATAATAATGATGTGTGAGTCGAGACTTTTTAAGACTAAGCAGTCAAGAAGAAAAGTTGAATGCCCTGAGATTCGAGTTAGTTAGTTTTGGGTGATTTAGAACTTAAAACGAGTCTTCAAAGTTAAATCAGCTAGATGAGCGACAGAGCCATTAAATAATGCAGATGGCATTCATTTAAATTGCAAATTAGAGCATATACATACATACATATGATGTTTTGGAGCTCCGGAAGTGGTTAACTTTAACCATCTTAATAGATTGGACAACGAGTGCCTCGATGACTCCTACGATTGTATACACATATTGATCTGTAGCAGTCGATAAAATAATCGCTGGTCAAGCGGAAGTGCCCAAAGCGGCACTCAAGTGTTATAATAACCGAAACATTTAAGATTATAACAACAAAAAAACAAAAACAAACAAAAAAAATAACTAACGCGCAGATAAATGAGAGACATGTCATCCGAAGAGTGGAAAACGGATACTTCGATGATGAGTTTGTGAATGGCTTCTGTTAGCCATGACGTTGAGCCATTTACAAATTAGTCAATCTATTTATGCATGGGGCAAACAAATACTTAATGTTTTAATGAACTCAAACCAGACATGATTTTTTACGTTTATCTTTGGTTATCTTTAATGGTCTCATCAGCAGCTGCTTCTTCGGCTCGTTGCGGTAACTGTAATGGACCACAAGTATTTTGTTTTTAGAGTGGCAACATAAAGTATAATATCGCTTCCGGCTATGTTCGACAAATTGACCTTGCACGCGCCATAATGAAATCAATAGTTCACTACTCGAATTAAGCCTGGCTAACAGCTGCAAAATTAGCTCTTTGAGCGCATCTTGATTTCGTAAACTTTTTCAAATCGATTCGACTAGAACAGGATTCTGTCATTTGCCCCTATTCAAATTGCCGGCGGCTCTTTATCACCATGTCAGACCGTGACATTAGGAAGACAATGTGCAAAGTTGGCCCAAAGCATAAGACATACACACACACACACATCACGCTACAGCAAAGATCACACATACGTATGTATAAGTCAAGTTCTTCTATAAAAACCAGTAAACAAACAAGTAACGGCTTCAGAATTGCTTTAAGACCAGCGACACGCGGATACAAACGGCATGAAAGAGTAATCATTATTGAACTAGACCCAAAAGAACTCAACAAAAAGTGATCAAATTAACCAAACTAGTTTATAAAAAGCAAAAAAAAAAAAACAAAGGCACAACCAATTCTTTTAGAGAAAATAAAAAAAATTCATTAAAAAATAAAGCATTAATTTGAGCTTTGCATAAATTATGCAAAAATAATTAATTAGAAAGAACATAACAAATTCTTATCGAAAGATGTATGCATTTAAAATCGACGCGTGCCGTGAACCTCTTGGAATAAATAACGCTTTCCGCATTTTGTCTCGTGACGCGTTTACAAGGCGTTTTTGATTTTGAAGTCTTCACTTCGAAACTGGCCACAGATCATTCATTTGGAGAGACTGGACCGCAACGCCGCACCGACCTTGACACTCACATTTCTAAAAAAAAAATATATATACGTATAAAAATCATACAAATAAAACGCTACAGAAATATATTTTTTTCGGGTTTTTGGCTTTGGCAACGCGTCTTCTTTCTCAGCCGCGCTTTAAGCTGCTCGACAGTCTTTGGCCGAAACGGAGATGAAACACACGAAGCGGTCTGCGTTCAGTTTAGCATAACTTAACTGAACTTAAATCCATGCAGTTGGGTTTTTGTGAATTTATTACATAACTCTTTTCAAGTGCAGCGTGCAAGTAACAAAAGAAAAGATACAACATAAAATTACAAAGCATAAAGAAATCCAGTGAATCTGTGCTGCAGCCACACAGCTCAGCTGCATATTTAAATACATAACGTGTAAATTCCACACAACCCAAAAAAACAAACAAACAAAAAGATACAACAAATACGAGCAGCAGCTGTGGCCAATTGTTAAGTGCACAAAATGTGTTATAAAATCGTGTGTAGTTTACTGCTCTGTCTCGGCTCTGTCCGCTTGGCGTACTCCAGCAGCTCCAACAATTTGGCTGGCTATGAAGGGTAATTAACACAATATATATATATATAAATTTATTTTCATATTTTTATTAAGTAATAAGCACACCAATCAGACAGCTCACTTAGAGCTTTTAAGCACTGATTTTATTTCGATTTTTTTGTATTTTATTATTTCTTTTTTTGTGAATTTCAAAATTAAGTTTTGGTTCAATGATTGCCGGCTAGTTGGTAAACGGGTTTACGATTCTTATTATTTGTCCATCACTTCAAAAGCTCACTTGTTGGATCAGTTACAATCGACGGATTTCGCGCCTCAGATAGTTGATAGATCCAAGTGTTATACAAAGATACATCACACAAATATCGAATGTGGACAATTTATTTAGCTGGCATTTAAATGTTAAATACGGTATTGCCAAAATGGAAGCGAGTAACGCGTTACGATACAATGTGGAACCCCACTTAATAATTAATTCTTTTAGTTTCTCAAACATGATTGATGATGATTTTATGTATGTATATATATATATTTTGTTCAATAATTTTTAATAATTTGAAAGAGCTACTACGATTAAGAGCTCGTGCCTGACTCTGTTCAAAAAAACGTAATAGTGTTTGCTAAAAATAAAAATAAATTATTATTCGACTTAAAAATATTAGAGTTATCGATTTTGAATTAAATATAAGCTGAATAATCATTTGTAATATCAATTGACTCTTGAAGTGCAGTAGCTAGATTTGATCAATAATGTCTTATTTGCGTTGCATCTGGCGATGAATCAAACAATTGTTGTATTAAGCAACGTGTTTTAGGAACTCTTTTGACAACCAATGATTTGTTGACATAGACAAACATGAACGTGTTGATAGAAACGATTGTCATTGCCAGATAATTAATGGTTGCCATTGGCATTAGCACTTGGACTAAACGTTTGCCCAGTTCAGGCGTACTTAGAAAAACATAACCCAAGCACGCGCCCATGACTGAGATTCCATTAGCGATGGATACCAGCAACAATAATATGTAAATGCCAACAGATCGCTGTACAAGTGTTTGCCAAAGATGTCAGCTCAAATTGTATGCTGTCTGTCTCAGCTGCTGTTTGAGGGGCATATACGCGGCGTATGTGTGATGGATGCATATAGTATACAGCATAATGGAAATGAAAATGAAAAAACGAACGTAAAACATCAACTCGATATTTAATTAGCACGTAAAACGTTTGCTTCCTTCCGTTTTTGTTAATTTTATTGCTGTTTCGGCACAATATGTTTTCAAAAATAGATGTTTAATATGCAAATATACCTAAATATCTATGTATATATATAGATATTTTGTATATAGATATTTTAGACAAGGCCGACGACTGCAGCTGATTGAAATCAGCGTACAACAATAGCTCCTCATTTGCTTATAATTTTTTTTGGAAAATTACAAACAAAACTAATTAAAATTAAAAAGAAAAAATACTAATCTCATATAGACAGTATAGTTATGTAAAAATGAATAAAAAAAAACAAAAATCCGTTGCCGCCTACGGTTTTATCATTATTTGTATTTTTCAACCACTCTTCGCATGCTGTTTCTGTTGCTGTGAAAGAGGTATAAACATAAATATTGTTGACGGGCGTTGAATTAAATTATATATGTTTCATTCATTGTATGCCGCTGTCGACTGATGCCACACGTGATTAGCCACGTCATTGTCTTCTGTTTTGTTTTAGTTACTAATTCCTCATGCTTCTCTCAATCTACTCACCCCCGCATCCAGTACCGTTGCACATGATGAATATGCATGGGTTTTCAGTAGTCTGTAGTAGCCTGTTGCTCGTTGCTTCATCTTCATCTTGTTGTGGAATTTTGTGAAATGACAAATTGGCCACAAATTCATGCGAGGTGGCAAAACGCCAATTGGCCAGGCGACGACATCGAGAACGAGACTGTCTGCATCAATTTGTGAATCAACAACTCGTACTTTTTTTTTGGGCGCCACAAATAAATTTTGTTGTCCAATTAGCCTGAAGACATACACAGCGTATGTGTCTATGTGTTGCAATTGATTTTGGGTTTTTTTTCTTTCGAATTTTTAATTAGATATTTACAATATTTACAAATTGGCTAGCATTAATTGCATGTAAATGGTTTTACCCATTGCTCGATCAATCAATCAATCACAAACTCAGACAATTTGTTAGAAATACATAAAATTTTATACCCAAACTAATTTGGGAATGTATATAAACCGGCTAGATTCGACTAGCACATAGATACAGCTTGGTCAGCAACCACGTTTTAGTAAGCAGCCACGTTTTAGTAAGCAACCATTTTAAGACCTGATGATACCATTTCGACGCTTTTTTTTTGTATTATTTTTTGTTATGGGAGTGTTGAACTTTGAACAAAGATAATGTTAGAGTTCATAGCAAATTAAGAAATCTGTATTGTTAAATATATGTTATTATTGAATGGTGAAAAGAGAAGAATAATTTGAGCTACGATTTGGATTTATAAGACGAATGACGAGAGCTGTAAATGTTAATAACAATTGTCAATTATATTCTTCCAGATATACGAAGTACACGGTGCAGCATGACGATGACAGCGCTTTTCACTATATGGTCGATCTGCAGACAAATGATACTGAAGTGGACTTTTGGTTACTCACCCGCAACATGTCCGTGCTGACAGTGGGTCCACAGCGGAAGGCACAGTTCGAGTCGCGTCTGTCGCAGTTGGGTGTCCAATATCAGACACAGCCACTGATGGATCTGATGGCATCGCTGGAAGGCAACAGCACCTACCCCGATGATGATGTGGACGAGTGCCATTCGGGTGATTGCGAATCGCAGCGTCCCCACAACCGTCAGCGTCGCCAGGCCCGCGGCTTCTTCTCCCGTTATCCACGCTATAATGAGATTCTCAGCTTCATGAGTGGACTCGCGTCGCGCTATCCACAGTTCTGTCGCTACGAATCGCTGGGGCGCTCCAACGAGGGTCGCCACATTGCCGGACTCTCGATTTCGCTGAATCAGCGAGTGCGTCCTCGCCGAGTGGCCTACATTCAGGCAGCTGCCCACGGACGGGAGTGGATTACGAGCCAGACGGTACTCTACCTGGCCTATGAGCTGCTTAGCAATTTGCGCGCTTTCCAGCGGGTTCTCCATGATGTGGAGATATTCCTAGTGCCGCTCGTTAATCCAGATGGCTATGAATACACACACACAACGGTAAGTAATATATTTCAACGCTATGATAAGAAAGTAGTAGAAATATGATTACTAGAAGAAAGAAACCCAAGTAATCGTATTGAATAGTAATCTTAATCGATAGATTGCTTAGCGAAATCTTAATCTCAAGATCGTATATGTATGTATATATAAATAAATCAATTACTTCCACTAATAATATTCATAATTTTCGAATTCAACTACTTTTAGGATCGCTTTTGGCGTAAGAATCGCCGTCGCTTCGTTGGACACTCCTGCACCGGTGTGGATATCAATCGTAATTTTGGCAATCACTGGAACTATCAGGGCGCCAGTCAGAATGTAAGCAACCTGTTGTCCAATTTGACTTTGACCTTCATTATATGAATACGATTTTCATGAAAAAAAAAACCAGCTCTGCTCGGAGGTCTATTCGGGCACGTCACCAAATTCGGAGCCGGAAACATCGGCGGTGGTGCGCTATCTGCAATTCAATCGTCATCGTGTGAAGCTCAGCCTGGATGTGCACTCATTCGGCAAATTCATTTTTTATCCCTACGGCTATGCGAAGTAGGTGTTCACGGATATTTCTCTTTTTTATTTTTCGTTGTTCTTGTTTTTCTGTTTTTATTTTTGTATTTTTGGGCTGTTGAGCGGCTCTGCTTGGAAAAAGAAATTCAATTTACTTTTCAATTAATTGCTAAAAGCAATTAAAAAGTGAATATTTTTCGCCTGGCATTGTATCTGAGCGTTTTTTAAGTTTCACACCCATTTTATCCTATACAGAAACACAGTGCCACCCACTGTGGGCACATTGCGCGCGGTGGCGCAACGGGCCGCCAACCAAATCACCAGATATCGCGGAACTCGGTACACCATCGGCACCTCCGCTTCCATACTGTACGAGGCTTCTGGCAGTCTGGATGACTTTGCCTATGGCAACTTGGGCATACCCTTGTCCTACACGGTCGAGCTGCCCGGTGATGAATTCCACGTGGCCTCGTTTGACATCATACACGTCTGCAAGGAGACATTCGCCGGATTCATTGAGTTCATCCGGCATGTTAGTCTGTATTAAATGTACTCCCTGTGGTGTACATGCGTTGGCTTCTTTTAGCATTTAAACAATTGAATTTATAATTGTTAATTTTACTAATTAGTGTCGTCGTTGTTAGCCATTAAATTTTAGAATGTGAGTTGAAAATTATGGTTTTATTGTTGCAGCGGGTGTAATAACTTGGAGCTTGTAGAAACTTTAATAACCCCATTAAGATGTTATCCAAAGTAGTTTGTTTTTCTCGATTTTATTTCTCTTCAAATATAATATTCTTTTAAGTTGTTAACTTTGTAATACGTGATTCGAACAGACTCAATTTTTTATTTATTGATTTGTAATCTTTTTAGTCTAATCTTGTTTTTGATATGCTTTTTATATCTTTAAAGAACTGGTTCATTTTTAGCTGTCCCTCCCTGAATTTTGTTATTCAACGCATGCCATAAACAGAAGCGTGTAGTAGAAACGATATATGAACCAATAAATCGGCAACAGCTCCAATTAAGTGATAAATAGTCAGCCTTTGAATTTGTATCGAAAATTTTGTGACAGTTTTGTTGGAACTTTGTTAGAAGTAATGACATCGTTTACTCTGTTGGGACTGCTACTGGTGCTGCTCTTGCTGCGATTCAAAGGACTGCTGGCGTGGCAGGATTACAAGGATTATAAGGTGTTTGAGGTAAAGCCACACGATGACATTAAGCTGCGCATGCTGCATCAGTTGGCAAGGGAGAAAGCCCACTGGGATCTCCTCGCACCACGTCGCAATTACAATGAGAGCGGATTGAGGGTACTGGTGTCGCCCAGCCAAGTGGACGGCTTACTAGAGCTACTGAAAACACATTCTATAGAACATCAGTTGCTCTTAGATGATTTATCCCCGCTGGTGGAGGCACAACGTGCTGAGAATCAACGCAGCAAATCGCTTAACCCGTCGCCACGACTCGATGTCCTTGGCGGATTTTATACGCACGCCGAGATCAATGAGTATTTGGATAGCCTACCAGAGCGTTATCCTCAGCATGCGTTTGTCAAACAATTTGGTTGGAGCTACGAGAGGCGACCATTGAAACTGCTGACCATTCATAATGGCGATGGACGATCAAATAAACCGGTGATATTTATAGATGCAGCAATGCATGCTCGGGAATGGATAGCGCCCTCATTGGCATTATACATCATCCAGCAACTCTTGGACAATTATGCGGAAAATAAGCAACTGCTCCAGGACTATGACTGGATAATAATGCCGGTTGTTAATGCGGATGGCTATGAATTTAGTCATACGGACTCACGCTACTGGCGCAAAACTCGCAAACCCACCTGGGATCCCGAAAACATTGGCACCGATCTTAATCGGAATTTCGGCTATGAGTGGGGCCACGATGAAGGCTCCTCGCCAGATCCCGCTGAGGAGATTTATCGCGGCGAACATGCTTTCGATCAGCCAGAATCGCAGGTGGTACGCGATATTCTGCTCCATTATAGCGATCGCTTGACTTTTTATCTTTCCCTTCACTCCTATGGTAACTTCTTTTTGCTGCCGTGGGGTCACACAAGGTAAGCCACTGACAAATACATTCAATGTTCTTCTTTTAATTTAAATAACTAATTTTTGTTTATCTTTCAGTGATTTACCCAAAAATTACAATGATATGATGGAAGTGGCTGATGCAGGTGCTCTGGCTATCGTTCAAGCGACAAATGAAATTTATAGCTATGGCAGCGGATACCATTTAATGTATCCCACCTCCGGTGATTCCACAGACTACGCTGTGGCCGTTGCAAATGCAACAGTGGCTATCACAATGGAATTACCCGCTGGCGGTTTTCTTGGCTTCGATCCGTGGGTTTCGCACATAGAGGGCATTGTTACCGAAAGTTGGATAGGTGTACGAGCGATGGCCATGGAGGTGATAAGACGTTATCAACCGGAATCGTAAATAAATACCCGATTAATGTCTACAATAGTATATAATTAAAGATTAGTGGGGAGTTAAGATTAGATAGGATTTGGCTATTTAAGTGACTGACTTTGGGCAACGCGTGTCTATAGTCCGGGGATCACATAACAATGTCACGATTGGGCCTATTCACACTGCTGTTCGGCTTGGCTCTGGTTGCCGCCGAGCAAGGATATGAGGGGTAAGTCGCATAGGGACTACTGAGAATAGATTTTCTTGAGCTACTCCCAATTGCAGCTATCGCATCTATGAGGTTACTCCTACCAATGCGGCACAGGGCAAGTTACTGCATGGCCTTAGCCAGCAGGGCTACGACTTTCTTAGCCTGAGCCGGTTAGTGGGACATCCTTCACGGGTCATCGTTAGTCCCGCGCAGCTGAGTAGCTTTGAAGAGTTGCTCAAGGAGCAGTTGATTAGTAATCGCCTCCTCAATGACAATCTGGGGGCTACCATTGCTATGGAGTTTGCTCAGCGGCAATTACAACGGCGCCTTTCACCAATTACGGGAAAGGGTCGCTTGAGCACGGATCGCTATTATACGCACGAGGAGATCACCAACTATATTGATGACTTGGCCGCGCGGTATCCGGAGCGTGTGTACGTCAAGACCGTCGGCTGGTCATATGAGAAGCGTATTATAAAAACCATTACAATTACAAATGGGGACAGACGTCCCAACAAGAAGGTGATCTTTATGGACGGTACCTTCCATGCTCGGGAATGGATCTCGCCGGCAGCTGTGCTGTATGTGATTGATCAGTTGGCGGAGCAATTCGATCAGAATGCCGATCTGCTCAAGGACTATGACTGGGTGATTTTGCCAGTGGTGAATCCAGATGGGTATGAGCATACCCAGAAAGGCACACTGGCGCGTATATTCCGAAAGACTCGGCAACCCTACAAATATCTCGGACAGACCTGTTATGGTGCAGATCCCAATCGCAATTTCGATTTCCATTGGAATGAGGAGGGTGCCTCATCGACTCCTTGCGTGGATACCTATGCCGGGCCGAAACCTTTCTCTGAACCGGAGACAGTCGTGGTGCGTGATCTGATGCACTCGCTGGCGGATCGTGGGGTTATGTATCTAACCATACACTCCTTTGGAAATTACCTGCTCTATCCTTGGGGCTGGACAAAGTAAGTAGCGGATATTACCTCCTGACTAAACTCGATTTAATATTTGCCGTAACACTATAGCGATTTACCAGAAACTTGGATGGATCTTGATGAAGTGGCAAAGGCTGGCGGTGATGCTATTGAAGCTGCCACTGGCACCGTTTACGCGGTGGGTAGCTCCACCAATGTCTTGTATATAGCCGCTGGCGCCAGCGATGACTACGCTTTCTATGCCGGCTTTAATATATCCATCACAATGGAACTAAGTGGTGGTGGTATAACAGGATTTGATCCACCCGCAAGTAAAATTGATGAGTTTGTAACGGAGACTTGGATTGGTATTCGTGCCATGGCCGAAAAGGTTATCGAAAAGTATTAAGATTTATATGTTAAATACTTTTGTTAGCTTGAGTATCTTAAGAGTTTCCAAATATATGATATTCTCAGTATGACTATTTTATTAAATTCTGATATATAGTTAAGAGAAAGCATCTGATTCTCAAAGAATAAAAATGTCTAACAATCAGTTTGAGTGAAGACTTCAGAAATATAAGTAAAAATGAATAAATAAATTGCAGATTTGCTGCTCATAATACCAAATACCGAATTATACTCTGATACCGAAAGGTATCATAGTTTATTGGTTTTGTCTCCCTCATGCTGTCTGTCGGCCCGTCGTCACAACTTTTTTCGACACACTTAGAGATAGAGACTTGAAACTTGGAACATATAAAAAGTTGCTTGTAATCTCCTTCAAAGATCTGTATTTCTTGTGTACACTCACATTGTTCATTGCTACCTGTTATCAGCTGATATTACAAAAAAAATATTTCATTATTAATTTATTTTTCTCAGTGTGGAAAAGAGTTAAAAATTTATCGGTTAAGTACACATTTTAAAGCATATCATGAACCGATCATGTTGACCCATAATAGTTAGCGGGTGAGCTTTAAATTCATTGGCGCGATTGGATTGATAATCGACTAGCAATGATGATTTGTGAGGTTTTACAACCCAAATTGTTGATTACGTGGAGTGGGCTAGATATTTTTGATAACGATTTTGATAAGAAATCTTACGATTGAATAGTTCGATAGACTGCCGACAGTTTTTTTCGAGTTGGCAAAGTGTAATGGCGAAACTATTGTGGTTAGGCTTATTTTGCCTGTGTCTAACACTATCCCATGGAAAGGGAAGCGTTTATGATGGGTGAGTGATGGGTGTAGAGAATATTAGTTCTGAACTAATTAGATAACAGCTTTAAGATCTATGAGTTGGCCAAAAGAAGCCGCTCCACTGGCATTGATTTCGTCGTATCGGAGCTAGTTAAGAATGAGTCATACTATGAGCTGTACAATGATGATGGAACATCTGCGCACATTATGGTCCATCCAGAGGCACAGCCAGAGTTTATACAGTTACTGGATGGACATACGTTAAGCTATAAGATCGTTAACCAGGATGTTGGTTCAACGTTGCGTCGAGAGTTCGACATGAATCGCATGCTGCGCAATCGTTATCCTTTTCAAGGACGTTTGGGAACAGAGCGTTATTATTCGCACGATGAGATCAATCAGTATATTCAGCAGCTTGCTCAACAGCATCCAAGTCGTGTGTTCCTCAAAACCGTGGGCAAAAGCTTCGAGGGACGTTGGATGAAGATGATCCGGATAACGAATGGGGATGGACGTCCCAATAAGAACGTGATCCTGATGGATGGTGGCATTCATGCCCGTGAATGGATCTCACCGGCTGCGGTAATTTATGCTATCGGTGAGCTGGTGGACAACTATGAGGCGCATGCGGACCTGCTCTTGGATTACGATTGGGTAATCTTACCAGTGGTGAATCCCGATGGCTATGAGTACACCCAGCTGTCGGCGGACACAAGACTGTGGCGCAAGACTCGCCAGCCAAGAAGCACTGAATGCATTGGCACCGATCCCAATCGCAATTTTGGTTTTCACTGGAACGAAGCGGGCTCTTCATCGAATCCATGCTCGGAGACATACGCTGGACCAAAGGCCTTCTCCGAACCGGAGGCTGTTGTGCTGCGTGATGTCATCCATAGTCTGGCGGATCGGGGCCAGATGTATCTGACGGTGCACTCCTACGGCAACTATGTACTCCACCCCTGGGGCTATATCGAGTGAGTATCTAAGGACTTCTAATATCTTATTCCCGACAACGTACTCTGCATTGCAGCGAAGTGCCGGATACTTGGGAGGATCTGGATGAAGTTGGACGCGCTGGTGCAGATGCCATAAAAGCGGCCACAGGCACCATCTACCGGGTGGGCTGCTCCACCACTCTGTTGGGTGCAGCTGCCGGTGCTAGTGATGATTATGCTTTTAATGCTGGTTTTCCCATATCATTCACGATGGAATTGCCAAGAGGTGGAAATAACAATTTCGACCCACCTGCATCGGATATTGACAGACTCGTGAAGGAAACTTGGGTGGGCATTGTGGCCATGGGTCGCAAGGTTATAGAAAAGTATCCGCTTAAATAAGGTCAGCTTCATTCGGTTGATCTTGTATATATATGTATGTATATGTTATGATCAAATTATATCTGCAATAAATTTGAAGAAATTTTCAACTTTAAATGTATTATTATTCTAAAGTTCAAACCGGGTGAGTTTCGAAAAAGTTATTGCTCAGGAAACGTTTGACTCCTCAATTCAATATTTGTTGAGGTCATATTAGAGATATCGTATACAATCCCTAGATGAGTTAAATGTTAATCATCCAGTTAACATTTAAAGATTTAATTAAAGAGCACAAAGTCAATAAAACAAATTATACAATTGCCTTTTATACCAGTAAAAGAAAAACAAAAAAAAAAACAGAAGTCACTTAATTTCTTAGCCATTAAGCGATAATTTCAAGTGTAAGCACACAACTCAGCACTTCTTTGAGCCACATTTAGCCAAAGTGTGTCATTGCTGCTGTTCAGCCTGAATAATAGAATGATTCGAGTGTGCTTCATGGGGGGGCAGTTATCGCGACCAGACCGTGATCGGAAATGGAACGAATGAATTCCCAAATGACAAGTGGTTGTAATTCAAATGTAAAATATCGTTAATATATTTTTGCAGTGATTGGGCGGTATTTAGTATTTGTTAAGAACAACCTTGGCCATGGCCTTAATGCCAGTCCAGGTCTCTGTGACGAATGGCAGAATTTGTGCTGTGCTTGGATTGAAACCAGTACCACCAGCAGGCAGCTCCATGGTAATGGATATTGGGAACTTGGCAGTGGCAAAGGCATAATCATCACTGCCACCAGCAGCGGCATATAGTACATTGGTGGAACTGCCCACGGTGTATTTGGTACCGGTCGAGCTCTTAATGGCAGCAGCACCCGCCTGGGCAACCTCATCAAGAGCACGCCAGCTGCTGGGCAAATCCCTGTAAGCAGATAATTAGGTTAACGTTAAAGTGATAGTGATGGTGAGCGATATCACTTACGATGTCCAGCCCCATGGATACAACAAATAGTTGCCATACGAGTGCAGTGTCAGATAGAATTTGCCACGTCCAGTCAAGCCGAGCAGCAAATCGCGAACAATCTGCGTTTCGGGCTCTGAAAAGGCAGTTTGGCCCTTATAGGTGTCGGCGCAGGAGGAGCTGGAGGCGCCAACCTCACCCCAGTGGAAGTCGAAGTTACGATTGCCATCGGTGCCTTTGCAGGTGCCCGCTGGCTTGCGGGTCTTGCGCCACATGCGTGAGTCGGTGTGCGTGTACTCATAACCATCGGGATTGACCACGGGCAAAATGACCCACTCATAGTTCTTTAGCAGATCGGCGTTGGGTATAAAGTTCTCCACCAGCTGATAGATGACATAGAGTGCGCCCGCTGGTGCAATCCACTCACGGGCATGAATGCCAGCATCCAGAAAGATGACATTTTTGCCACTCTTGCCATCACCATTTGAGATGGTAATGGTCTTTATATCGCGCCCTTCATACGATTTGCCAACAGTTTCGACACGAACGCGACTGGCATAGGCCTTGGCCAGTTCATCCAGATAGGCGTTGATCTCCGCATGACGATGGAAGGCAGTGAAACTGATGCTACGATCAGCACCACGTTGCGACATCAAACGTTGGCTCTTATTCTCCAGCTGGTCCTGTTGCAGTGTGTTGCCCATATTCTCATCCAGCACCATATAATCCACAGAGAATCTTTGGAGAGTCTGCTCGAATGCCTCCTGATCCTTGGGCTGCACCATGACGCGTGTGGCAGCTTCCAGAGAGCGTGGCATATCAAAGAAATCGTAATCGTCATTATTGGCGAGGCGCAGCAGTAGCTGCTTCTCAAAGGAGTTGCGTGCATTGATGTCGTAAATCTTATACCTGCAAATGTGAAATAACACCGCACATTAGCTAACTAAGAAGACGTTGCCACTTCACACACGACTCACCCCTCGTAACCGTGGGCGGACAGCGACACAATGCCGCAGAGGAGCAGCAGCAGGCAGGTTTTTATAAACATGTTGTTTTCCGATCCGTTGGGTAGCGACACAAAACGCCTATTAAATTGTAATGCCTCAGCTGTTCTCTTTATATAGCTGTGTGTGCTGGACTCCGCACCACTTGTCGTATGCGCAATGCCAGCAGCAACTTTGATAATTGATAAAATTTGATCAGAAAAATCTTATCAGTCTTATCAGGTGAGTACGTTTGAGTTGTAGGTATGTGTGTTTTCAAACGCTTGACTTGATTTCAATAGAAATCCCATACAATTTACAATACTTTCGATTGACGACATTGCCTGTCATGTATTTATAAAATTGTAATACAAACACTTTTCAGACTATACGTTATTAATAAGACTCAACGAAGTGCTTAAAGATAATACGCGCCCATAGATGAATGAGTTGTAAAATTAAGGGGCAACAATTATTTAAAAATAAATATAAAATAAACAGACGAAATTTGTTTTTCTATTTCTATGAACACCATTTAATGTTTTGCTGATTAGTATATCAAGAGTCTTAAATGCGATTGTCTTCTCCGTTTAATTTAAGTCTGTTGTAAATTTGTCATTTTGGAATTAAGCAATAAACAATTGATTTATTCGGTATTTGGACATTTTTTAAATGAAGGCAGAACGGAGCTTTATCAGTTTTTCGTGTTTGACTTACTGTGCCACTGCACCAAGCCAAAAACTAACTCAGTCGTTCAAAAAAACCCTCGGACGTAAAAAGAAACTAAACCAATTGCAATAATAAATATCACCGGCGAACCGCTTATACCCTTCAAATTTTATTTTATTTACATATTTCTGGCAGAATACAGGTGACGAAGTCATACTGAGAACGCACTTATTTTCTCCAGATATTAAAATCATAAGAATAATATAAATACATATGTCTAAAAACTGAAATTATTTATAAAAAGTCAAGAGCTACAAATATCACGACAAAGACTCTTTATTCATCCTTTCAAAGAGTAGTTGAAATAAAGAGAAAAAATCTTTGCTTTTCTGCAGCGTACACAATATATATTTGAAAATTTATTGCATTTCATGCGTTTTTCCATATTTGTCTGCATTTGTAGGCAGTTTTGGTCGACAACTTTTGCCGGCTGCTGGGCCAACAACAACAAAACAGGACTAGCAGAAACAGCAAAAAAAATAAATAAATAAATAACAAAAACTAGAATAGAGGAAAAAGTTGCTTACTTAAAACTGACAATGAGCGCATGGAAATGACAAAAAACACTGCGGAAACTGTTGGCTCGTAATTTTGAATGGCCCATTGGACGCGACAGGCAGCGTGGCAGCCCCCGCCCTCCGCCATAAAGTTTGATATACCCTGTACCCAAAATAGTGGAAAATATCTTTATTTTTATTAATTGAATATAAAAAATATATTTGTGTTGTAGAATATAATTTAGTAGGTCAATCGATTGGAATTGATGTATAAATTATATTAAATAAAGCAGAAAGTTGATTAATATTCATTAATTTAGGCAATGGTAATTACCATAAGACGACTATATTCTTGATATAGGATAGAATTCATTCGATCAATCGCTAGATTCAATTATTTTGAACTGCATGCAAGTGCCAGGAAATGTGTTTGCGTACTTTGGAGTGTGGTTGTGTTTATATTTTGGCATTTTCTTTTTTGATTTTCTGTTGCTTTTGGAAAAGTTTGGTAAAAGTTTTTCCGTACTCTGCATTGACAATAGATAAAGCGGCATTGTTTGCTATTTGCTGTAAATTATGCAGAATTATATGCAAAACATTTGATGAGCCGAGTTGTGGCTTTAAAGTTATAGAGTCTTTTGCTTTAATTGATATTGATAGCTGAGCATGGTAAATTACTCGTAAGTAGTTTCGAAAATTCATTTACACGGTCATTTGCATAAATATTCACAGCAACATTTCGAAAAGTTTTTCGGCAGGCACTCTTTAATTTCAATTTTGCATAAATTAAAAGCCGAATACCGACAATGACTAAGCCCACAAGCGGACCTGCTATCCTTGCCATGAACTTGCCGCTTTATTGCTCTATTAACACCCAATCCCTTTGGCCAGAAAGTTGAGTGTCAAAAATGTACCACAACAGCAGTGGTCTGTGCCCGAAGGGGTTGGGCTAAGTCTTGCGGGGGTTACTTGAAAGTTGGCGTTGCGCAAAGATTTTAATTAAAATTCATCTTCACATTTAATCAAATCATTGCAGAGAGCAGAGAGCTGCCACTGACATCGACACTCGCTTCTAATTAAGTGCGAAAAATCGTTAAATGTAAAATCAAATCGTGCAAAAAGTAATTGAGGAACTCGACCCCCTTCCTCGAATACAGTCAAAAGGGGTGTTTCGGAGCACACCCGCCAACTGAATGCTTGCCATGGCTTGAACTTGACGACTCACCGCCAACCAAAGTTGTAAATTGAGTCTGGTATTTGTTGTTATTGCTATTGTTGTTGGATTAAGGCCACAACAATAGCGCTATAGCACTTTGGCGGTGGGGTTGAGTAGAACGCGAGGTGGGCAACGATTAAAGCCAAACTGGTGTCAAATATTTACAATCTATTATTTGCACTTGTACATTTGTTGCTAGGTGTTAAAGGCCAACAATTGGCTAATTAAAACAAGCGCTGCCTGTGGCCAATTTTCTTAATTGGCAGCTGAAAGAATTATCTTTCGTATATTTTTGGTGAATCTGCCGCAGTACTTGCATTCGTAGGTACCCTCTATACCTATGGGAATATATATGAATTTATCCACACACCTGACTAATACTTTGAAGAAATTAATACTAAGAAAAAACCCAGAAGCTTGTTGCAAATTAAGTCTGAGAGTAGTGAGATACAGATACATTTTAATTGCAGAACGTACCCACTCGAATTTATTGATCAGCAAACAATGAATGGGAGCTTAGCTTGTACACATACAATTACACACTTACAAGTCTGTGTGTATACACAAAACTCAATTAGCTTGTTTGAGCTCATTTGTAGCGGCAAATGTTATTTGAGAAATTAAGCTTTAATTAAGCCAAGCCCGAGGATTGCAGGTAAACAGACACAAAAGCGGCTGCCACTGCAGCAGTTATAACATTAAAAAAAAAAAATGCTGAAAAATTAAAACAAACAATATAAAAACCAGGGAATCAGAGAACGACCAACAGCAAATGGCAAACGTACTGCAAACATACACACACACTCACACACACACACTCGCACACACACTCGCACACAACAGAGCCAAGTAAGTCGTATTAAATTTAATTGGATTTGAGTGTTTACCAGCGGCACAAGCCGTCGGCAAAGCCACAAGCACACCAGCTGAAGCTTCCCAGTTTTCTTTTAGTCTCCACAACCAGTGCGTACGCGCTCTGGCTCGACCTACTTTTTTTTTCTTTTATTGTGTCATGTGTGTGTGTGTGTTTGTGTGTGTGTGTAGTTGTTGAGTGGCAGAAAAAATATCATACATATCACAGGTAGCATGAGGCTTAAGCCGGATTTTATAGACTCACAACCAGCCCTTAGGGGGGCTGGTGGACAAGCAAACAGTAAAAAGTGTTGAAACAAAGCAAATATTGCGTATACGCCAAGGCAGCCAAATGCCGAAAGCCAAAGCACGTGGTCAGCCAGTGTCTCGTTGCCAGCGCAACGCTCTGAAAGAGGCCAATTAGCGTTATAACTAAATGCCAACTCATATGCCAATTACTCCATATGGTCAGACGAAGCATACAATCTTTTTTGTTTCTTTACTTTACAGGAACATTGATGCTTAGTTAAAGTCAAGCATCAACATATGTAATAAGAAAACTTATTGTTTTTTTATTCAAATATATGTACAATTTAACGATTATAATTGTTATTAATTACTACGATCTGAAGCATAGGATCGCTTCCACAGGCGAATTTTAAAGTATTGGTAGTAGAAAATTTCTAGAAAACAAACAGAAATCAATATTGAAAAAATTTCGAAAAATAATTGTAGTTTTAATTATAAATGTTGCAATATTTGCAGCAATTACAAATGCAAAATTTTTGAAGTGTAATACGCGTTGCGAGTTAAATGATAGCATGCAAATATGATAAATCACCGTCATTATTGGGCCATCAATCAAAATTATGCCGTCTGCTTGTCGCTCTCTCTCTCTCTCTCTGTGTGTGTGCCAATGTGTGGGTGTGCAAAGTGTCTAATTGAATAACGAAGCGTGCAAATTGAGCCGATGTCTGTTTCAATGTTCTCTCCTTCTCTCTCTCTCTGTCTGTTTGTCTGTCTGTCTCTGTTTCTATCTCTCCACTCTCGCTCTCTGTTGCTCATCTGGCTTCTGTTGTGGGTATCTGTGCCTTGTCCTCGTCGTGGGACTGGCATAAAAACCGTTAGCCGGCGGCAGTTAACGACACATCCGTAGAGATTTATAGAGACAGGGCTGACACTCTCCAATGTCTGCGGTTAGTGTTTGTCCCCAAAGGCAACGAGTGTTCCTTGTTACTTGTTACTTGGTTTTAAATTCGCTTAAATTCAGTGCAGCTCACACATTAACATAGTTTTTAGGAGCAGTAGCAGCAAGCAGAAAGCAGCAAGCAGCAAGCAGCATGCAAGCCAGCAAGCAGCAAGCAAATGCAAATGCCGTTAGAGGTTTACCAGGCTTACCAGGTGTAGAACAGCTCTGCAATCTACAGACTACTGACAAAGCCGCAGAGGCAACGGGTTTGCCGGTTACCGTTACACGGTTTGTTTTTTAATCTCGTTGCATTTGATTGTATGCAGCTGGCACAAAAAAGTAATTTAGTTCGAGTAAAGCGATAGATGTGTGTGTGTGTGTGTGTGTGAAGGGTTCTGTTTAATTTGCAGCATGTCAAAAAACACGGCCACATGTGTGTGTGTGTGTGTGTGTGTGTGTGTGTGTTTGCCTGTGTCTTTGTATGCATATAATTATTGCATTTCTGGCACGTTCGGAGACTGAAAACGAAACAGAAACAGAGAACATGAAACTCGACACTCGAGTGTTTGTTTTGCAAGTTGGCAAATGGCACATTTCCCTCGCTTTGCCATTGCTTTCATTATATTTTTCTTCTCCTTCTGCTTGCTGTAAGTATTTTTTAATGATACATAAACTAAAAAGATACACTACAACTATATATGCACATGTGTGTGTGTGTATGGGTGTGAGGCAGTTGGCAACTCGTCTAAATTATTTACACATCCGTTTTGCATTTGCACTGTGCTTGTTTTTCCACGCATGCCCCTGCACTTTGTGGTGTCTGTGTTGTGGCAGCAAACCGCCGCAGGCTCTAGCCTCGTTTTCCGTTTTCTGTTTTCCGTTTACCAAGCTTTTGTGCCACTGCCACATAATGAATGCAATTTCTTTCAGCTCTCTCCCTCTCTCTCTCACTCTCTCTCTCTTTGTCTCTCTCTCTCTCTATCTGTACTGCATTGAGTGGGTCGCCTTCGAGTACATTTGGAGCGAGGTTTAGATTACAATATCCATAAATGCATATATGGATGGGGATACACATGCATATTCATTCGTTTTTTAGTCAAGCCACACAACAATCAAACTATGGTAATTTTGTTGGTATTTAGAGCAGAAGAACATTAAATCTTTTGGGGAACATTTATCAATTGGCTTAAGCCGAATATTTTAAAAGACAATTCGTGTCAATTTGATTAACAAATAAATCTTTGCTTATTATGGAAAATGAGAAAATTCAATAACTAAAATATAAAGCCAAATCTCGGCTTCTCTCTTCCTCTCAAATCTCAAATTCCAAAAGCTGAATCACTTATTCAAGTTGTCTTCACAATACGCCATACATTTTTCTTGAGACTTGGCTGAGATTGCGATTACGTTGTGTCGACGAGTGTTTGACTAATTAAAACCGCAATGGCCGCCAGGTGGCCACAAAAAATTCAAGGATTAGTTTCGGTTGTTGTTGGTGATGCAATTAGAGGATAGCCGGAAATGTGGCCAGCCAAGGATTTGTAACACATTTTTAAGCTAACAAATTATTTTTGCTGTCCTATTTCAACTGTTTTAGTGTTCAGTTTGCAGTTGTTGTTGCTGTTGCTGCGGTTAGTTGCAGATAAAAAACGCGTCCGACTGGCAATTGTTACGTTAGGCACACAAACTAACACCAAAGCAAAGGGGCAGCAGACAATGGCTTTAATTTAACTGTCGGAAGTGAAACACAATGCAAAATACGAGTTGAACTTACAAGCAATTTGCCTTATGCATTACCCAGGCGAACTACCATACCCATGCCAAGGAGACACGCCCATTTCTCACTCACACACACACACAAATATCAGCAGCAAACATACTATAAATCCTATGCCGACAAAAACGTGGCGCAGTTTCTGCACTGAATCCGAATCCTGAACGCCGTTGCACGCATAGACAGGCTGTAGGAATGAGTCAGGACTTTGACTGGAGTTGCTGCTGTTGCTCCTTCTGCTGCTGCTGCTGTTGAGTTGCTCCTTGTTGTTTTTTCCGCTGACTTTTGCTTTGGTATGTTCATTATTTTTATCTTTCGCAATGAATGCGAAACTACGAAACGAAACGAAACGAATCCAACAAAAACAAAAAGAAGGTGGTTGTGGGGGGTGTGGGGGGTGTGTATGGCAAGCTGGCACACAAATATGCAAAACAGTTAAAGGATTCATGGCGCTCAAATCTAGGCGTAAAGTGTGAATAACGCGTAGCAATGTGAATGAGCTGACGGCGCTTTGAGGCGCCAACCAAACTCCAGTTTCTCTCGGTCTTACGTGGCCCTGTGGTGCCCGGGAATGCAATCAGCGGAATTGTAATTTAGCGTAAAAGGAAGTTGAGCTAGCTCAAATTGAGGTTTTATTTCATTTTTTTTTTTTTTCATTTTTGCTGTTGCTGCCCCGCGCACAAAAAGCAGGCTGCCTGCAAGTAAACAACTTCCGCTAGATAATAGCAAATGCCAGACGGGCAGCTAGAACCGGCTTTCTACACTATTCACCGTCCCCTGCTTGCCATTGCCAGACAGACACATCATGTTAAATGCGCTGCAAAATTGCATTAAATACGCACGCTTGTCACTTTTTGATAAGGGAATTAAATTTTGTGGTTTAACGCTGGCGGCACACAAGCCCCAACACACAAATACAACCACACTACGTGCCCCCAAAGCTGCATCTGCTCCGGGAATATTGGCCATGCTTATGCCGCACGCTGTCAACGCTGTAAGCCAAACTGAGATGTCGAGACTGTCAACAGCATACCCTTCATTATAGCCGCTTATTGAATTTACGCTGTTTTTGGATGAAAATAAAAGAAACGTAATCTTGCCACATTTTGCAACGTTATAAAGTAGTCGGATAGCTTCTTAACCTAATAAACAAATCTGATAAAGAGCTATATACATAGATTAGAGAATCAACTTTACATATTACATACTCTTGGGTTACTTTTATAGTTCGGATTTTTATTTAAGATTTGGAAACGTAACAAGCAAATCAAATCAGATAAATAACTAAATACCAGTAACTATTAAAACAACGAACAATATTGGAATGTGAAAATAAACATAACTTCTTCGAAACAAAACTTTTCATTTTGCTTATATATTGGATATCAGGGATCGTCTTATAGGTCTCTGGGATATATTTCAGATACTAAGCCAGATTTATCTGCTCCGTGTTTGGATAAAACTTCATTTGCATCCGAGTTTAAAGCTCTGAGTAGTAAACCATCTTGATATGGATTTGGTGGCAGATTGGATAGTAACAAGTTTCGTTCGTAAGAAATTATGGATTTTAGATGGCTGACTAGAGGATCTAATAGAGTTGTACGCATATAGGTGGATAGCAATGGTGATTGTTTTGAGAGTACTTTGTGGTCCTTTAAAATGACAGAAACGGCGAGGGTTACTTCATTAGTTATGTTATCGAATTTCTGGCTGTAAAAATTAGTGTCTCCGCGTGGTGTCTTTTGTACTTCTTGAATATTATTGATTAGCTGATGCACTGGCTTATTATTGAAGAACTTTAGATGTGGAAGGATGAACAGCAGTTGATGTAGCTTCTTCCCTTTAATCTTGACCGGATTACGGTTGAGATGGAGTTTACGTAGCTTCAGTTGCCGAAAAACACGTAGTGTATCGAGATCCTTTAGCTCGTTGTCTACCAATGAAATCCTTGTCAGCTGTCGCAGGCGATTTTCAACGCCTTCAAAGGCTGCTAAACTTGTGAGAAAATTCTTGTCAAGCAGCAGAGATCGTAGATCCGGCATCCGTTGCTCCATAACCCCAATGGCCGCTGAGAGGCAATTGTCCTGCGCCAAAATGCAGCAATCCAATGGCAACTGACGACCTAGATGGAAACTGGACAGGTCTAATAATTTATTTTTCACGTCGTAAAGCTTCATCAGCTCTGAATGCAAATTTAGCAAAAACCAATCATTAATTTCAACTTGTGGCAGTCCGTTGTTGACCCGTAGGTGCATCTTCATCGCTTTTGGCAGACGTAATTGTTGTAGACCTACGGCCTGCGTAAATGTCTTCACATAGAACGTGAAACTGGCACCGGCATCACTTGCTACATCCTTCTCACCTCCCACATGGAAATAGTAATGGCCACACACGTGTAGCAATGCATTGTCATTCAAGTAATCTTTCAGCTTCCAATAGCATGCGTACGGATTGCTTGTGGAGCTGTAAACCAGCACACGATACCATCCGTACTTACTAAAGAAAAGAGGATCCTTCCGTGCCGCTGGCTCTTTTTTAATCGGTGTGGAATGGCAGAGTGGGTGTGATAGTTTAAGTGATGAAATCATTGCTTATCCGATATGAATGTGATTTTTTTGAAATACGTTTTCAAAATATGAATAAACTGATTTGAGTAGTAAATCGCAGCCAAATAATAGATTTGAGTATACAAAATTTACATTGAATCCACTATTTTAAAATGATGACATTTTTTTCATTGATATTATGCAGCTAAATGAAAACAGGTTACAGTGTTTGAATTTTCATTTGCAAGTAGATTTGCATTTGCATTTGCATTTGCGGCTATTTACATAGAAAGACAACTGCGCTGCCTGCAGTGCATAATTACCTCTATAAAGAGAAACCGCATAGTGGTTCTTGTAAGTGGGCCATATAACAAACTTTTTTACACACAAAAGTTTTGTTGGCCCGCAGAATTAATGTGCATATGGCACGCACCAAATGTGAGAAAGGATAACCTCAGATAGCAGACACGAGTATGTGTATTAATGGGGTTGTACTGGTATTTTAACTGAGAATGGGTTGGGACTGTTTCTGAAAAGGCGTTGCTGCAGTGCGGCAAAGTTAAATGAAATTATGATTAATTTGATTAATTGGCCGGCGCTCATAAATCATTAATTACATGCAGCATATTATTGGTGCCATTGAGCCGATGCTCAAGGGGACATACATTAACCCATAGCCTAAGCCAAGGAAAATCTCACAGACGAAGTGTCCCAGCCAACCCCAACCCCAACCCCAACCAAAAACCCCCCAAAAAGTCTTCACAAGGCTTGACAAATGGCATTTTGTGGTGTTCCGACGTGCCGCTGAGCTTGGGCTAAATATTTTCGTAATTACATTTCCACGTAGAGTAATTAATTTTGTCTCGCTTTGGTTTTTGCCCCTTGTGCCCCTTTTTGTTGGTCTTTGCTGTTCACCGTTTTGTTGTTGACATTTGCCATTATGTGTTGCATACTCTTGTGCGCTTTTTGCTGTCGTTAAATGTCACAAAGCGTTTGCTTCACATTCGGATTAGTTGCAGGCACCCGCATTATTCTTATTATTATTATGTTTTATTATTTGATGAGCACTTTAATAAGAACAACAGCAGAGCAGCTGCAGATGTTTACACTTTCCCATATAATTTTCTTGAGCCAAATCTGTTTTACTGCCCCCAGCTGCCCCCTGGGAACCTCACACACTCAACGTAGAGCCGGACCCATAAAAACCTTTTGCTGGCTACTTAAGTCGTTTGCCATTGCCAGGTAGGCCCAAAAATTGTCGTATAAATTATGCATCATGCTGGTCATAAAATAGAGACGATGGCATGTCAAATGGCAACGTGGCGTATGTGTAATTAAGCTCATAATTTAACCTCAGAAAGTTTCTTAAGGCGAGCCCAACCTAAGCAAATGATGGGAGAGTTTCTATTTTAAAGTTTTACCTTTTATATATATATATGCATATTATTTTCGGGTTGCCTATTTAATATTTTAAAACAAGGATCAGGAGAGCTCTAGTTGAGGGACATTACTTACAAAATACTTCTTATCAAATTTACTTCGGTTGATGAAGCTAATCAACAACACTTTTATATTCATTTAAAAGTTTTCGTATATCACCAATTATTGCATAATTAACTTTCAACCTGTTGAGTACCCTTTAGAGTTGGAAAAATATGGAATTAAATCCTTTCGAAAAAACAGCTGCCTATTAAGAACAATTTTCACCTGAATATTCTGTGATTTTGTGTATTATGTTTAGGTGTGGTTCGGCAGTACTCTGTGTCTGGATGCCTCAGAGACTCACAGGTTGTTGTCACATGTGCGACAACATAATTTTTTGTTAATGTACTCGGGAGTCGCAACTGGCACTCGTCCAGCTACTGACTGACACACACATATACACACGGACTGTAGATGACATTTTTAAAGTCCAGGCGACACATAATTAACCCAATTAGAATGTGTGTGTGTCAACGCTAAGCTAAATTTATGTGAATTTTTAATTATGCTGGCGAAAGAAGACGGCATCCTTGCCGGCCAGTTGGGCTGGGCTGTGCTGGGCTGGGCTAATCTGGGTTGGGTTGGGACCGCAAAGCAAACAACAAAACACAGCACCAAACCGACCGAACAGCACAACGAGGACAACCAGAATAAACGACCTGAACCTGGACCTGGACCTGGACCAGTTGCTGCCGGTTAAATGAAAAACGTAGTAAACTGTGCGCAAAACACCTGAGGATTCACCATGGCGACCAGGCGACCAACAATGAGTGGCCAACTGGCGGCTGCTCCTCCGGCTGCTCCTCCGGCTGCTGTTTGGTTTGCTGCTTGGTTGTCTGGTTGTCTGGTTGGTTGTTATAGTCAAGCAGCTTTGCCATTTCCGGGCGTGCCTTTTGTTTGCTCGTTTACCTTTTGCATTGTTGCTCTTATTGGTGTTGTTGTTGCTGCTGCTGTTGGTTTAACTGCATTGTGCCTTGTGACTTTTTGTGTGCTACTGCAGCCGCAAATAAAAAGCAAAGCTGCTACTGCAGAGATAGATAGAGAGAGAGAGATAGAGAGAGAGAGAGAGGCAAAAGTTTTAAGCAAAATGTTGCCAAGTGTTTAACATTTTGTACGGTGTCAGTTGCTTCCTGTCTCTGTATGCGTCTGATTGTGTGTGTGTGTGTCTACGTGTGGGCACCTGAGGGACTTTAACACAACTGCAAATGAACTTGCCCGGTAGGCTAAGCGTGCGGATAAATGTAAATTAAACAATGTTCAAGGCGCACAAGGACTGGCACAACTTGCCGGCAGGACGGCACACGTTTCAGCCTGCGTTGATTTTTGACACACTCAAGTGACCCGAAAGAATGTGCTCTATGTGAGATAATGGCAAGTACGGAGGTCGATTTCAATATTATTCAACGGTATTTAAACTTAACTAAAAGTTTTTAACATCCACTGACTATCGATACCCTTAAACCGATTGGAAGTTTTAGTAAGTAGTACAAACAAATGCTAAATGTTTAATAATCTTTTCTCATTTTTTTTTTGTGCACAATATTTTCTGATAATTATGCAAGCCTTAAATAATATATTATATGTAAATATCAAATTTAATATATATAGTTTATAGTATATATGACCTGTTTTTGGTCTATCTACTACAAAAGCTCATGACAGCCCTCGGCTGTGTGCATTTTGTAGTACCAACTTTAATAATTTATGGCAACCCAACACTCATTCAAATTTTGTTGGTCCGCTGACAAATGTGAGCATATTTTAGGGCGTTGATTTTGATTGCCAGTTGTCTGTTCACTTATGGAATTTCATTAAAAACTTACATATGCGACCACGCTGGGGACAGGCCTGACTGGCCTGTGCTCGGTTTAAAGTTACTTACTCGTGGATGCTTGCATGTGTAAGCCAAATTAAAAGCAGTCCAAGCAGACAATGGTATAAAAATTTATGAGTCCAATCTTTTTGGCGAGGAGCAAAAGTCAAAGGACAGCCCCCAACCCCCAGCCCCCCAATTATGGGTGTTCCGGCCAAGCCTGAAGGATTAACACGAACAGACAAATTCCATAAGAGTGTGGGGTGGCGTGCCTTTTTTTTGTTGGTTTTTTTGCTTCAAGGATTATCATGCTATACATCGCGTGCTGTTGAAATTCAAGGAGTGTGTATGTGATTTTTATCATGCAAACAGGCGGAAAATGACCCCCAACCCAGTTGGACAAAAAAGTGCTAAATGAGTAAGGTAAATGAAATTACCTGACCGTACACACCTCAAAAGTGGACAAACTCACACATACACACACACACACACACACATGCTCTCTGTGTGTGTGTCCAGTTGTGCGTGTGTTTTTTTATTTCCGTTTATATTTGACGTCGTGTTGCGTGAGAGAGTGGGCAAAGTTTTATTAAAGAGCGGAAATTACAAATTTGTCCAGCACTAATGGATTTCCATTTCAATTTGCACTGCTTTCGCCATATCAGTTTTTCTTTATTTCTTCCCTTTATTCATATATATATTTTTATTTGGGGTTCACACATTTTAAAGTGTTGCAAATTTCAGCACGATGATTAGCCGCACAATTTATGCGTCCTCAAAATGTGGCGAAAATTTAATTTTGGCTTTTCTTGATGTCCACAGTGGTGTCGTCGTCATCGTCGTCGTCGTCGTCCTTGCCACAAAACGCTAACGACTACAAAATTGCAAGAAAATTACCCGTTAATGTCCAACATTTATGGCCTGGCTGGAAGACGCCGTTGAGGAAGCCACCTCCTGTCTGGGCTCCAACTTTTGCTTGGTCTGCCGGTCGAAGTAATCGCGGCTGCATTTTAGGCGAAATACTTACTTGTATATAGAAAATAAAAATAAAAAAATAGGAGAGGAATAACTGGCAAAACTATTATGGCCCTTGTGCTTATTACTTGCTGACATGCAAACACTTGCGCTCTCTTTCTAGCCACTTTGGGCCATCTCACTTTAACAGCTGTTGTCGGTGCTGTCTGTGCTGATGCCAAGGACAAGGACAATGTTGCAAAAGTAAACGGTAAAAACATTTCAGGCCCTGACTTTAGGTCGCTTATGTGTGGGTGGGTGTATGGGTGTATGGGTGTGTGGCCGCCATTCTTTAAGGGCTCCACCTATTAAATATTTAAGATATTTTGGCATTTAATTCACGGCACACAATAAATAATAACATGACACATATCAGCCTGTAATTTATAAGCACAAATCGAAAAAGTAAATAAAATTGCTTTTCAACGAAACTTAGCGAACCTGACACACACGTCGAGCAGTCATTAATAATGTAGGTGGATGCCACATTCAAGTGGCGTTGCAACCACATCACAATGAAAATCGACAGTCCCCACACAAATCGAATCGTGTATCGGAAGGAAGCAAAGTCGAGCTCAAGTGGAATGTCAAACGTGCCGCTTGCCACTGTCAAAGTAAATTTATGCGCCCACAGCCAACCCCGCTGCTGCTTGGGCATGGGCTTGGGAAAGGAATGCCAGGCAACTAAAAGTATTTTGTAGTTACTGGGCTCTCAATGGAACAACTTTACCACACCCTACAACTACATAAAATTTGCTGCCTGACTTTTCTGGTGTCTGCAACTAATTTCAATATCATCAAAAATTAATTTCACTAATTCGATTAGAGACATTTCTCTATGTGGTATGTTAAAGCTGCACCACTGGAGTGGTGCGTGGCCAGCAGTCACCTTCCGACCGACCTCTGAATTCATTAATTTAAGTCAGCTCCCAACTTGTCCCAACTGGTCCAAGGCATATATTTACTACGAGCTGGCAATTGCGTGTGTGTTTAGTCGTATCGCCGATAATATATGTGCATTAGCTCAATGATAGTTGGTAAGCTCATTTCGAGCAAAGCAAATTACTTAAGAAGTTGTTTGTAGAAAAGTTTATCTGCTTAAGTTCGTAAAGAGTTCAGATCAAAAAAATTCAATTTGTTACAGAAAATCTTTGTTTTTAATAACTTTATATTTACGCGGAAATGAAATGTAACTCAAATATCAATTAACTCAATTGATTTATTAAAAATATACACAATTTTACTTAACAACTATTCTAACGAATTAAATTTCTTATAAATTATATTTAAATATAACCTTATATTGGAAAAATCATATAATTATTCATCGTATTCCTTACTTCCTTGTATCCTTACTGCTGTCATATTTTTCAAGTCCCACATTTCCACACAATTACAATTTCAAGCTATTGTCATCGTCTTGCCCCATGGCTGTGCATTTAATTAGGTCTCGGGAATAAAAACCCCTCTTAAATGCCGAATTACACAAAACATTTGTGAAACATTTGCGTTTTCATTTTAAAAACATGCTTACGCAAATTAAATCCCAGATAAAAGACGTGGCACTCTTCATATTTTAGTGTCTCGCTTCCTGTATGCAATGAGTACGTTTGCTTCTTCTTCTTTTTCGCGTTTTTCCTTATTCATTATTTTTTTTTTTATATTTAATTTGCCTTTATGGGCGCTGACGCACCTTATTTCATTTTGAACAAACAAAGAGAGTGCAAATAAAAAAGGAATGTAGAAAATGTTCATGTGTGAAAAGGCATTTGAAGCTGAAGCTGGAATTGTAAAAAGCCAAAAATAAAGGAAGCCAAACATATCCACGTCAAACGCCAAAAGTCACGAAGTAGGGCAGAACCAGTAAAGGTAGTCCCATCTACCCCCTTTCCCATTTCCCACTTCCTCCCCCTCCCCCTATCCAGATGTAGAGTGCTGGGGTAACTGAGGCAAACGTGTGCTTGGCTTTCACTAATTGTCTTTGCTGTGCGTGCGTGCGCGTTGTAAGGGCGTGCATGCGGTGGGGGAGTGTGTGTGTGTGTATTTGGTGTGTGTTTGGTGGTTGGGGGTTGAGGTGGTTGCATATATTTTACGGTTGTTTAGCTTCGCGTATGCGGCAGTTGCCTTTTATGGCCCATCTGAACGTCAGCCTCTCCTCAGCCGCAAAATTTACTTAAAAATTCCAAATGAAATGTAAATTCTTGACTTTCTGTACTCAAGTCGTTTATTTTTTTGCTTTTAGATTATGGTTGAGTGCAGCTGGCCAATTATGCACTCTATTTATAAGACAGTGCAATCTCATTATTCGCATAATGATCAAAAATACAATTTAATAATGGCACAGGTAAGCAAAGCTAGCGCTTCGCTATGTCAGGCACTTCCGTTCGGTTGACTCAACAAAAATATACCATAGCCTAAGCATAAATATAGAACAGTTATCATTTACAATACTATACAATATATCTATATATATATATATATATGTCTATATATATATAAATTTATTTACGCTTGCACTTACCGCATGTCAATCAAAAATATCCAACTGTGACACGCGCACCACAGGATTCAGTTTATGGGGATCGTCGCACTGTTTGCTTGTTTGTCATTCTTTTTACTTTGGCTCTGGGGCGAATTCCCTGTGCCAATTAAATGTCGCTTTTAGATTGTCATGCGGCTGGCCAAAGGCAAAGACATTCATATGACAATGCCGCAATGGTAATAAGGCAAAATATAGCAGACCCACAACCAACAAGACAAGTCACTCCGTCAGTCAGTCAGAAGCAGGAACTGCCTGCTCAGCGTGTGCTCGCATGTCCTGCCAAAAGTAAATTAATTGCAGACCCTTTACCATTGCCGGGGACCTGTTCCCATTTTCCTGTGGCTTCGCCTCGTGCAGCTGATGTGCAAATTAACATTACCATCAACAAGAAACCGCAATAAGAATAAGTGCCGGGCTTTGCAACAAAACTTGCGTAGATTAATCGGCCTGATTAGCCACACGCATGCCCCTTTCCCTTTCCCAGCACAAAACGACACAAATCTCCCACCAAGAGACGCATCCGGCTTGCTCACTCATTATGCAATTATTTTGAATGACTCTCCTAAGTGATATTTCCGAGGAAATTTCAAGCGGACTTTTTGTTACATGGAATGCATTTCATTCTGTGGCAAACTTCTGGTTATTTGCCTAAATGCCAAATAACATTAATGAAAACTTGGGTTTTCATCTAGGTAACTCAATGTTTGTGAATAACTAAAAATAATTGGTGTAAGTTGTACTCGTAATTAAAAAAATTATTCCATCTTGACTATATCCAGTCTTGCTTTTAACGCAGATCGGATTATTTAAGAAACAATTTTTACATGAAATCTGGAGCTGTAGTATTTTCCTAGAGATCAAGCCTTGCTCAAGGCGACAGTGCTTGTAAAACCTGATTTAGCTTAAGATAATTGGAATCACTTTTTTATTTGAGTTTTTTTTTGCTGACTTTTTATTTCAAAGTTAAGCTACTCAAACTGCTATCGCGTTGTTATATCGCAACTCGCCTATCGATCTATCGCATGGATACAGAGTTGAAATGAGCTAAGTCAAATTCAGTGTTGCACAGTGCAGCTCAAAATCAGCTGTTTGAGGGAATCTAATCTATTCGTTTCGTTGTCTGATTCACGAATTAATTGTAAGAAAAACTGTTGAAGGTATAACAACTTATTACCTTATATGGAGATGAATCAAGTAACGATATTGGACTTAAATGACTATTGTCTTGGTCGCGTATTAAAATATCTTCAAATCGAAGATCATGTAAATTTTGCAGAAACCTGCATGCGATTTCGCGACGTCTTAAGAGATTGGTCCTGTGTGCTCTATCCGGAGTTTAGGATTGAAGATGATACGAATTTCAAATGGAAATTAAAATTGTTTTTTATAATTTGTGACGTGATTAAAAATCTATATCTGACTATTGACCCAAATAAAATGGAATTTCCCGAGCCAGACTTATTTTACAATCACATTAAAACCATGAAAAATTTGGAGTTCTTTGCATATAAAAATGAAGAATTTCCCACTTTGAAACGATTTAAAGTAGCCAATAATGAGAAAGACCTAATGGTAAATGAAACATTTAGTGCTCTCGAGCATTTGCCCAAACTAAAAAGTGTTAGTGTGAGATGCGCAAGCAGGTGAGTTTAAATATGAATAATTGCATTTTCCACTTGACATGCTTAAATGCCTGCCTACTATTTTTAGATTCAAAGCGTGCAACATGATGCCACTGAAAGGCCTGCAAGCGATTTCGATAAATGATGAAATCGCATCAGAGGATCTAGTTGACATTTGCCAATCGAATGTGAACTTGCGTGTGTTATGGTTACGAGTGGTTGTCGGAGAACTGAGCGACATCGTACCTTACTGTCCGAAGTTGGAGGAAATTTCTTTCCCTATGCTTAGCAGCCATAAATCCTATGTTGGCCTTGCAGAGCTACCCAACATAAAAAAAATCGTTATTAAAAGTACAAGCTCGCCTTCGCCATGCGAAAAGCTTTTAGAACTTTTCACCGCACTTGTTGATAAGAAACAAGGACCTCAATTACAGAGCTTAATGGTGTTGTCCAGTTTGAACTTTAAGGAAACAAATAAACTGATTGAATTAAAATCTTTGCGAGAATTGCGCTGTGGATTCAAAGATGCAAGTTGCATTGATCTCTTGACGAACCTAACTGAACTTGAAGGTCTTTACATAATGCTGGGGCGATCAGCCGCTGGCTCCAAGGAATGCCTGAATATACTTAAGTCTTGCAAAAAACTTCAACGTCTGCATATAAACTCTAATTTATCAACGGAGTTTCTGGATAAGGCAGTGGAAGTATTAAGAAAGGTGCGCAATACCGAAACGCAAAAGCCCTTGCAATTGTATTCAACAGGACTCATGCATTTGTGCAACGAAGGAGAGGTATGCGTATCAACAACTTATAAACGATTATTAATTATAATGTTCTATTTATCTACACACTAGAAACTGGTTGATAATGCCTACTGTACTGTAGTGAATTGGTCCGAATATCTGCGCGCAATGCCTTGGCGACTTTCGAACTAAGATGGTCAACAGATAATGTAAAAAGTACTTTAATACAAACTAAAATAATAATTTATATTAATAACAATTAATTAAATAATAAAAATAAGAGTCGATAGAATACGAGGCTTAGTTGACTGCTCTAGTGTCACTGGGGAAAGACAGACGCAAATCATATTCCATTATTTATTTCTAATCAGCAAAATGAATTCAATTAGTCATTTATTAGTAAGTCTCAAAAAGCTTATAACAATATAATATGGTGACGAATCAAATGAATATGTTGAATTTAAGTGTCGATTGTCTTTATTGCAATATCTTAAAACAAAAGATCATGTAAACTTTACACTTATTAATTGACTTGAAATCTTGGCAAGAACTGGCTCCAAGGAATGCCAATACAAACTCTTAATTATCAACGGAGCTTATGAATAGGGACTAACTTATTAAAAAGCTTATTAAAATATGTTATTATAATATGTTCATAATGTCAAAAAGTCACTTAATGCAGATTTTTACTTAAGTTGGAAGTGAAATTCACGAAACAAATAATCGACCACAAATGTGTATAAAAATTAAACTTATTTTGCAAAGCACATGAGCACATACATATATTAAAATTAACATAATTTATAATTGCATCACTTGTAAAACCGCCTTGAATATATTGCAGCGGTAGTATGAATCATTGGCAAGTGAATTACCAGCAATTCTCTCGAAATTAATCTACACTATACAATGTAACACTAAAAATAAGAACAGGCAGAATCCAAGAGGTAATTGGACGTGATATCATGGGAATTCATCTTGGTGCTGAAAGTGCCAGATAACATTGAATTAAACTAATAAACCAACAATCAAGTGTCAGTCAATTTTTAACTATAGTAACAGAAAGACTGTAACTGAGCCACATCTAACTCCCTGATTGGTCTTTGGACGAATGCCAGTTGTGTTTGTTGTCACATTTTGAGGACTAAGCACAATGTAATTAGACGCAACAACCCAGAGCTACAACAAACAAGCACAACACGTTGAAGCAACAACAATCAATTGTGTTGGACTTGAAGACACCCTGTACTAACATATGCCTTCTCGGTGTTGAGTGTCAACCATATTGTCCAAATTGTATTCATTTGTAAATATTTACCTTGTTGGCTATATTCTTTAATTATTACCCATTCCATGCATAATTTCCCCATTTTTTAATGATCCGGAGTGTACTAAAAAAATACCCAACTGAATTAATTCTCTTGAAGGCACATAAAAAATTATTTGCTCGCACGCATCACCGCTTACCAATGAAGACACATGCATATATGTATTTTTTATCTAGAAACTTGTTTTTTTTTGTAGTTTTGTAGTTGAATATTTTGGCAATGAACCAAAAAAAGCGGCCACAACAACAGCAACAAAAAGAACTGATTTGTACAGGTGCGAAAAGTCTGTGATCACAACGTACGGAAAATCGAAGCCAGTTTGCTGTGCGTTCCCGGCCACATTTGAGACTCTGCTACCTGTGCTACCTGTACAGGTGATCGTGCCCTCAATGGCGCTTGTGCAGTAAGCCTTCTGGGTTTTTATTTATACTTGTAATCTTACTGCTCTTGGCTCGCGATATATCAAATTCTATTGTTCATTTTCTTAGCTGCCTATTGCTTATGTTTTTCTTGGCATATGTTATTTTTTAGTGTTTTTGTTTCTCGTAATTTCACTGAGTGAATTTTTAGAGTCAATTACTCCTGTAGATTTGTTAATCTTTTGGTAGTTGACTTATGTTCTCAAAAAATCTCAAATTGTAAATATGAAACGAAAATTCATTTAACTTGCTTAAGGGATCTACTTAATTAAAATCTTAAGGTTGGAAATTCATATGAAATAAATCGAAATGCACATAATCATTTGAAATATTGAACTTTCAACTTTTAACATTTGTTGATTCAGTTTCTCAAGAATGGCCTTGCCTCATTGCATTTAAATGTGCTTTGTAAGTGGTCCACACAATTATGGGCCAATTATTGTGGTATGGCCTTTAAAAGTTCAAAAGTCAACGTTAAACAGATTGCCCAACATACGCATCGTTTTGGCCACGCCCACAGTGTGTCAAACACGCTAATTTACTGTTACATTATTTACATACACAGTCACAGACAAATACACACACACACACACACACATATACACAAATAGGGGGGGAACGATAAAACTGAAAGGTTGTCACTTTGGAGGCGTTAGGCGGTCGCTCGTTTTGTGGTGTTGTGCAGTGAGGGAAACACATAATAAGAAAAACAACGAAGAATTCCCATCAACGAGGCGGTGGCAACAGGGCGCATGAGCAATGTCTTTGTTGCTGGCAACATGGTGCAAATAATGTTGCCAAGCAGAATCCTCGTGATATTCTCTTGAAATTAATTTAAAAAATACGATTTCGCACATGTTGAGCATCTTTAACTAATTCATATTTATGATCAAAATAAGTGTACATTAGTTTTGGTTAATTTTGAACAGATTTACCATTAAATACACAAAATGTTGCTAAGCTGCAGAGAGTCAAAATGAAATAGCATCCACAAAGTTTCCCGCCAATTGCAGGCCAAGCCGAAGTGTACACAAACAAACACACACATACACATACACACACACACACGCACACACATACATACGTATGTACGCTGTAGCAACCCCGAAAAGCCGCAAAGCAAACAAGGGGGAGGGTAGAATGGTTGTGTGGGTTGCGATTGGGTTGGGTTAGGTTAGTCGTCGTCGTCGTCGTCACCTGACGCTCTGTTGTTGTTGTTGTTGCCCTTCGTACGGTATCGGTATGGGCATAAGATCTGTAAAGCTCGAGCTGAAACCAAAAGCCGGCAACTGGCTCGAACCTCCCCCCAAGCGTCCCGTCGTCCACAACCCTCCCTGTTAGCACTGCACAGAAATGTTATTTACATTTTGTTTTGCCGGCTTTTCTTCTTCGCCCGATGTACAAAACGATGGGCATACGAACAGTGCCGACAGCGCTTCGGCTGTGCTGTCGTTTCGTGTTCGCATTGTGCCGTTAGTCTGCCAAGTGCCCGGGTCCGAATCCATTCGAATACCACATTAGTTGGCAACGGCCCTCGCGCTGATACGGACGTGTTTCTTTACTCGACTTTTTCAACAGGCACTTTTTGAGGTGGTGTGTGTTTTATATTTTAAGTTATCGCGATTTGCGCCTAAAAGTGCAATTAGTGTCGCAAAATTGAGAAATTTGTGCAATGAATTAAGAAATTACCTGGGCTAGCAAGCAAATGAATTGCATACATACATACATACATACATACATATAATATATGAAAAGTGTTTAACATTTTGAAAATTCTTCTGTGAGTTTATGTTTTTCAAGTGAATTCAAGAAGAGCAGCAACAGTGGCAGCAACAGCAATCAGCTGACATAAACCAAAAGGTAAACATCTAGACTTGTTTCATTAGGCCACATTACAATGTGGCAAGAAAAAAAATATAAGATTTGTCGCCCTGCCAGTGACAGAAACACAAACCGCGCATGTTAATTAAAGACAGGCGCATAAATGAAAAAAATTCATAGTATGAGCAATGTTATTGAGGATGCCATGGCCCGATCCATCCATCACTCAATTGCTTGTTCAGTATTTTGGACTTTCTGTACATATGTATGTATATGAATATATATTTTTTTCAGATGGCGACATGAATAATTCTCTATTTGCTTCTGGCTGATGTTTTTCCTTTTTGGCTGACGCCCCTTAACAACTGTGCTTTAAATTTAATTTGGAAATTTAAATTGAGAGCAAATAACAAGAGAACACAATGCACATGTGTTTTAATTTTTTTGCTATTTTTTTTTGTTATTTTTATTGTATTGTGCTCCACTGCGTCAGTCTCTCAATGGCCAATACCCAATTCCAGACCCATTCGTCTGGCTGTTAGCGATAAATAATCAGCAGCCGCTTTGATTTGCGTCTGGTGCCATAAATATTTATGCAACTGGACGCACTTGTTTAAACAGCCAGCCGAACACTTCATAAGGAGTCAGATCTATGTCTGATCCGATCCCAATCGATCGGTCATGGCTCAATTTGTTTGGCATATCATAAACGAAATTTGTTTATGCCTTATGCAATTTACTTGGCCACGCCTCTCCAATTAAAACTTACTACTTTAGCCGGTTGGCAGGTGAATGTGAAATTATCCCTCATTGTTTTGATGTTATCAGCTGAGCCTCCTCTTCCCGTGGCTCTACATATTATTGTTGTTGTTACTGTTGCTGGTTTTCCTGCGGCCTGTTTTGTTGCATGTGGGCTAACAAAATAATTGACAAAACAAATCATTTACGTGGCAAAAGTTTCAGTCCCAATACCGCCCCGAGTTTAACTGCACACGGCGGCAAAACACGCAACACGATGCACGCCGAGTAGAGTATTTGACGACATCCAACACAAAAACAAAAGCAGCCAAACACACAAACACACATTTCTGGGTGGGGGCACAGAGACAAAAACTGTGCTGAAATATGTATAAATAACAGCATAATAATGAGAGACAACAATATGAATTCCAATGTTGCATTCTTTGGGGGCCTGAGCAAACGGGCAGGGTATGGCATGAATGCAATGACATTTTGTGTCTAATTTGTGGCATGAACGAAATTTGCAACGAGTTTAAGTACTCATCTTTTTAAGCTGCCTACAGTTTCTAAATACACATATCAAACTGATGGAACGCATTTAAGCATTCTTATTCATATCCGAATAAAAGATGGCCGATTTTCCAATTATCTATACACATTTAGATATTATAGCTTAACAGAACACAGCTCTCATTCATACAAAATTATAATAATATTTATTTCCTCGTTTCCTAAATAAATAATCATAAATAATAATTACCAATAAATCAACTCTTTGAAATTTTGCAAATGTGCAATTCTTCTTCTCAAGAATAGCATAATCAGTATAAAAACTTTTCAGGAATTGATTTTTACTTGAATTTTGTGCTTGAACTAAATGTTTATATCTACATTTTATATACACTAATTGAGCAATACACATAAGCCATGTTTATATATATATATATATATATATATATATATATGTATTTGAATAATTGTTAATAAATTTAATTGTCTGATATACGTTTAGTTTTATGTTCTTTTCCGGTTAAAGTGATGTGATGACTTTGATTTCTTGTGAATAGGTTGTCTGTGAAACATATGTTGAGAAGTGTGCTCCATTGTTTTGGCCATAAATCTGCTTGTCTGGCGCCTTATACGTATCAAATGCTAAATGGATTATATACAGTAATATGAAAATTAGATAATTAGCTAAAAGTATAATATTTATGTTACCCTAGAGATGAAGAGCCCAAATGTATTGTGCCGATTCAATAGAAAATATATACTTTTTTTTTATATACATATATGAAATTACAGCAAACGAAATTTAACCTCAGTTTAAATTATATTATGGCAAAAAAACACCACAAATTTGCCGCTGGCAATGTCAAGGGTGTTTATTTGGTTTGCGGCTCACAGTCGATTGCCTGATTTACACACACACACACACACACACACACATACCGAATAGTCGATATGTTAACACGTTAACAAGTTGTTAAACACACACAATTTTTACAGCCTATTTTGTATGAAAATCCCAACATTTATTGCTATTAGTTTTCGGTTATTGGCCGCGTCACGTTGTTGGTGCCGATGAATTGCAGCGATATGGCATGAGAACCCAGACGAATTGACCTCCAATTCCTCGTCCCCCTGCAATGTATGTATGGTGTGGCATTAGGGCCAACAAATGAGTCTGGGTCTGGGTCTGGGTTTGGGCCTGACAAATGTCGGCTCAAGTACCGCCTTCCCGCTGCTTGACGAGGTTTATTTATTAAAGTCGAATTACGACATGCTATAGTCGCCTAACAGCAGGCAATAGTTTTTATGGCAGTCCCATTTCTGTAATATAATAAAAATAATAATGACCATATAAACGTATTAGTGCAAGTTTTGATTATAGATTATAAGCAAAGGGAGTCTTTTAAAGATGTCAGCAATTTCTCCGATGTTCCAAAAATTATCTTGAAAGATTTGATGATTATGAACGAATATTAACATATATCAAAATATATTTATATGGTTCTCAATATAATAATTGACTTAAATTATTTCAAACTGTGTATTCATTACAATCTTGAAACTATTTTACATCTTTACATCTGTTCTACTTTCGATTAACTAAATAGTGGCTGCTTTTGGTATTTTTTTTGTTGTCCTTGAGAGCATGTGTTTCGAAGATTGAATAAATAAATACACAGGGGTACACAGTTTATATATTTTCGCAATAGTTTATGACGTCGAGTAGGGCGTAAAAAACTTTATAGCCTTTTAATTGTGTTTGTGGAAATGCTTCAAAGTTAAGGAAATAAGGCGGCCCATGTTGGCCTTTGAGTCTGTCTCTTAGCCAATCAAGTTTTCTTCGCTCTTTTTCCGTCTCGCTGTTTATTTATGTGGGTCTAATTTATTTATTTCTAGTCTGGTTAGCAGCTTTTGCACACTTGATAGTCCAATTTTGTAACGATAATATAAGAATTTCAACGGCTATAATTACCTAAAATTTGTACACACACCATGCGGAACACTGAATCGGAAATCTAGAAAAATTTAAAAAAATATATATGAAAAATCTCCTCGAAATTACCTGCGCATTTTTGTGTAGTTACAGCATCAGCCCAACCCTCCGCCTCTACCTGCCACTGACCCAAAGAATGCGATTGCAGCAGCAGCAGCAGCAGCACCAGCAACAGAAGCAGCAGCAGCAGCATCATCATCAAAGCACCCGTCGTATTAACTTTTCATCTAAACAGGCCAAAAATTGTAGCTATTAAAATCAAAAATTGTGTTTATGGGGTGCGAGGCAAGAGGGTGTCGGTTGGAAAATTCCAAGCATATCAAAACCATTTGGGCCACAATTGCATCGGAATCGCAATTGCGTTTCAACGCAGGTGCCGAGATGCTCGCTAATTTATGAGCTGTGTGCATTGTGGCTAGATGTTACGGTAAATTGCAACTTTGAATTAAACAATATGCCCATACCAACATCACAGATGATGGCCATGTTCTCTTCTACTCCGCTCACCACCTCACTGGCAAGGTCGTTAAAGGAAGACAGAGGCACAAAGGGTGCCAATAGTCATGCTCTAATTGGCAGCAATGGGAAATTAATCCAAGCGCTTAAGAGCGGCTCATTGAAACCGAGTTGAAACACTGTTAATTCTGTGCCAATTACTGGTTTTGTCATTTGTACGGCTTTCAAACGATTAAAAGAGTTTAAAATAGCCGGAAAAAGAACGGCGATAGTTGTCGTAATGCTGGTAATTATGTTAATGAATGCTTAAAATCCACCTCAAAGATATCAATCGAATTGATTTTTGTTTTATTCATTTCATCCATAACTAGATTTCCGCTGAAACTCAGAAATGAGACTTTGATCTTCAAAATCGGTGTGTGCAATATTTACAAATAATGCAAGCATCCAACGAGATTCAACCTTAACAAGAATTCAAAAAATCCCCATAAATTTGCAAAATGAATTTCACTTTTACGTGAAGCACTTGCGTATTAAATACCTCAATACAGAATTACCGCATATAAATAAATTATTATCTGATTGATGTTTTAACGTCAGGAAATGATTTGCCAATGGCGTGAAATTTACTCTCACTACTTTTGTAGTTATTCATTCGGTAATTCTTGGTGGCAGTGCACACGGCGTACATTGTTGGGGGGGTTTACGTGTTTTGTTCCATTTGGCATGGATTTGTATCGAGTTTTTTTCTTTCTTTCTTTTTGTTCTTTATTGATCGGAGTGTGAGCCATTTGAGTGGGAGTGGAGCAAAGCGTATCGAAATAATTAGCAAGTAACTGCCAATGTTAGGTCATAAATTCAACGCTGACATTTCATGTCAAGGCTCAACGGCGAATCGATTGATAAATTAATCAAAATTAGGCCTTGAGAGTGCATAATAAATACTTATAGCGTTCGCATAACAACAATAACAACAACAACAACAATCAACAAATCCTTAGTTCTTAGTCCTGCCATAGACTGGCGTGTCTCAGTGGAAAATTTTCAATTTCAACTGCAATTTAAACGTCCATCAATAACCAGCCGAAGGCAGAAGGCAGTCGGCAGTCGGCAGTCGGCAGTCGGCAGTCGGCGATTCCAAACGGGCAAATCGCCAACAAAACGTTAAGGCAGAGATTAAACTTCCATCGCGTATTTGTTGCGGGCCATATTTCATGCTTTGTGTATTCTACGACTACAACCAAAGCCAAGAAATGAACTCCGTCTGACAACGAAGCCACTTAAGCCAAAATGGAGGCATCGCACTGACAACCCCAGACGCAGGATCTAGCTGTCCTGG